GAAGGTTGAATCTCGCTACTAGCTCGGAGTCTTAAATTATACTCCTTGGGTGACGACAATCAAGAACGTGTAGTTTACTACTTTTCTTTTCTTCACATGGTTCTCCCTGTAGCTAAAACCATCGGATCAACTTGTGCTATCGAGGGATGTTGCTCAAAATTGAACAGTCAGTTTGGGACGATTATAGTTACTCTGTCAAAGTTTCAACTGAAAAATGTAATGGATTGTTTAACATTTTGTACACGCAGAAAAGAATTATAGAAATTTTTACCGTAAAAGCAACGGTATCCTGTGATAATTTGTCATTACGTAAATTTTTACCGTAGTTTACAGTAATTTTTATGGTAACTGTAAAATTTATTCCAAATTCACTATAACCTTACCAAAATCCCGCTTGTTTTCCTATAATATAGTCGGGAACAGGAGAACTTTGTACAGGTTAAATATGCGTTTTCGCACTTTCAAAGGAAAGTTTTAAGCTGCAAAAGACTAATTGAGTTAGAAAAAAATAGTTAAAGTATCGTCATCTCTTCAAAAATATGTTATTGAAAAGCTTTCATCGTATTTCGACCGTTGACCGTGTAAAAAAAATAAAAATAGAATTGCATCCATAAGGCCTGTGTTATTTTTCCACCAAGTGACTATATACACCGCGAGAGTTACGTGACCTTTTGGAATCCCAATAGCTATACATACTCTTTCAGGGGGAATTTCACCGTTGCCGTACAGTAAAAATTATAGTGAATTTTGGAAAAATTTTACAGTTACCATAAAAATTACTGTAAATTACGGTAAAAATTCATGAACACCTACGGTAAAAATTTCCGTAATGACAAATTATCACAGGATTACCGTTGCTTTTACGGTAAAAATTCCTGTAATTCTTTTCTGCGTGTATTATTTTTACTACTCTTCATGATTATCAAGTTACACATTGGAAATCGAACTCAATACTTCATTAATGATTAAAGCAATCATATTCCATTTTGTCCCGTTGTTGTTGAAGATTGTAATCATCGGAGGAGCAACCAAATTCGCCCTATTTCCTCTCTCTCAGCCACAATGGCAATGAGATTTTAATAATCGTGACACGGTAAATTTCATCGGCATCGCGCAACGTACGTCATCAATATGCCTATTATATTGTTCCGCGTGCCTCTCTCGATTTATCCCGCGAGATAATATTCCCACTCGAGCAATTATAACGTATATGCGAGTCCAAAGCACGAGACAGAAAAACCAAACGAAAGGTATATATTATACAGGGCTCTGCATATACGCATCCGGTATACGGGGCAAACGTGTAGTAAGAGATAGAACTCCTGCACGAGTAAGTGTATAATTATACTTATGGTTTGGTGACTCGACTACGTCTGTATATAATATACTCGGTACATTGTAGTGTAAGTACTCACACGTAGATAAAGGCCAAACGAAGGTGAAGGAGCAACTATACAGATCAATGGCATGCAGATTTGGGCCGCGTTTATTAGGATAACCGGGCCGAGCCGAATGTATACCTAGACTGAAATCAGTATACATGTGCCTATACCCTACTTTCTGATGGCGATGCTGAGTAACATTGAGTGCGCTGCCCGTGAGCTCGATCCTTGTTATTATTGTTTTGGCTTGAATCAGCCAGGTATATCGATCTCCTTTCGTGCCCCCAAAATTTATTTTACTTTTTTTTTTTTCGTCACATCCACGTACATTTTCATATTTTACACCATTTACGTGCACAAATTAACAGGATACCAAATATTCAATTATCCCCTGATGCTCCTTGCCCCCCCCCCCCGAAAAATGTGACGTAAACATGTAAGAAACCGATCTCTCGCTCGATTCGACCTTACAGCTTGTACATGAGTCACTGCTTTTTCTCCCTACATCTGTATGTGCACACGCATCCCATTGCACGCAGACTTCCCTAAAAAGGAAGCGGAGGAAGAAGGAGAGGCCTCGCTCGAAGGATAAAGAAACATCGGTATGAATAAAACGAAAGCGAGAGAGAAAAGAAAAAAAGGTCCAGCGCGTCTCCAGCTTCCTGTTTACACGCAACACAGATCAAGGTGTATATATGCGTAGGTACATATATAGGTTTATAGGGGAGAAAAGTGATCACACGGTGTTACAATAATACACCCTGCATCATGATATTAGGGATCGGTAGTTGTCACCTTCCGGCTGCTGCGGTCCTTGGTTTGTATCATCGCACGGGAACCGTTTCGTGCCGTTACTTACAGGAATATATGTGCGAGAAAGACAGACTCCCTCTCCTAAAAAAAAAAGATAAATCACTTTTACGATCGAAAGAGAAAATTTAGTTTTTGATCCATCATTATATACATATATATATACGATTGCGCGTTAGATTTTCACTTTGAACAAAAAAAAAGGAAGAGCAAACAATCCATCATACACTCGGTTGTTATTAATTAAAGTATACACCGCTGCAAAGACAAATGACAGTCAAGACGCATTTTTGCCGGGAACATATATTATGTATAGAGCGCGAGTTAATTGTTATGGGCTAAAGTATATCCTACCATTATGCCGTTCGCAAGAATGCCCGCGCATTGTCTCGCGCGCGTCCGTCTCCAGCGGTGGATACTATATACTCTCTTTTTTTTTTCTCTATTGTCTTTTCGCGTGTGTACACAAGTATGCAACGAAGGGAGAAAATGTTTCGATTCTCCCTTGGAATTCACGGTGTAAATTCTCCTGCAGTTATATTATATTGCTCTTTCAAAAGTATATGCTTACCTATATATAGGTACCAACAGTGACAATTACAATTATATATACATCCTGAAGGAAAAAAAAAAGAAAATAAGACCAACGAGATAATCCAATGATCGTGTATCGCACGTATACATAGTACAGTATGACATACAGGTATATATATAATTACAGTGTCCCGAAGCGTCTATTATCCGCATCTACGTTTAACAATTAACGGTAAACGACGCATAGGGTTATTACGTGTCTATATGGTGTCATTATTCCGTTAGAAGAGCCACGCAAATCCCATCATTTGAGCACCCATTGTATTTACCGATACCAAATTCGTGCAGCGCAAATAAAAAAAAAAAAAAATAACAGAGAACAAAAAGAACACAGCCGTCAATGAACGGGTTACTTGTATACTCGCGTGGATCTCTCCCATTGTCTTCCACACGCTAAAAGTAAACTACTACAATCGTATTACAAAAATATGAAGCGAGAGGGAACGTCCACATGCTCCGATGTAAAGGGTATACTTATATTATATTCCGTGAGCCAAGCGATGATATATATGTCCCGTAACAGCTGTATAATGTTTATAACACCTTCCGTGACGTCCCAATCGAGCCACCGAATCTTTGGTATCGGCACTTGTCAGCGTGACTCTTATTTCTTCCTTTTTTTCTTTCCCTCTGCAGCTCCGAGTTAAAAGAAGACTCGTGTCTTCCCTCGGCGTTTACTATATAAAGTACATGTAGCCATTGTCATGTTGTTGATGCTCATGCACCAATAATATTCGCGCAATGTACCTACTTGTGTGTGAATATTCTCTCTCGTCGCGGCACAATGCGATTATTGTTGTAAATGGCACTTCCGTGCGCACAATGCCTCCCCCTCCCCGAATGTAATATCTGGCGCACGGGAACATCCTTGTGTGCTACCATAATAATTTTTTTTTTCTCTCACGTGTGCCTACACATATATAGGAGCAGCCCATTTATTGTAGCAAGATGACAAGGAATCATCAATGAAACTTACAATCGAGAAAGGGTGGCTCTGACGAAAAGTCTATAAAAACTGTGGTTCCTTTCTTCGGGGGGAAAGTTCGCTTTGACGTGACAAGGGAGTCGTCGACTTGTGTATACTTAATCAAGGAAACGCTCGCTCTCTCCAATTAATACTCCAAAGATTACCAGTCCAAAGTTTACTCTACAAGTTAGTATTCTCGCCTCCTTTAAATATTGAAATAGTCGAGCCATGTACAAAGTTGTCGACCCCATTTGAAAGACAATCGTCGCCCGAAAACTTTTCCTCCCGCCCCTCCATCACGGCACACACAACGTGCATTTTTGATTTCGTTCTAATTGGTTTTTCGTAATGTTTTATTTACAGCTCCCTTTCGTCAGAGCCAAATCACCAACTCATGGTACTCTTAAACCTTGTCGAGAAAAAACTCTGTGTAATGGCGCGCAATCTCTCTTCCCTAAATTGTGTTCCCCTTCGTCGCATAATAATCACGCGTGTGAGTATAATATCCTCTTCGAGGCGTATTATATGCATCTCCACACAACACACGATGATCCGGCACGTTCTAGTTTTGTACGACTCCATGTGGAGCTCTTTAAGGTCGAGGTCTCCTTTTCTTCTCCTTCTTGCGCCATTCACGAGCCATATAAAAGCCACACGGTGGAGGGGTGTAAAAAAGCCGCGCGTCATCTACTCTCGTCCCTAATACATCCTCTCCACCGCGGAAGCGCATAACACAAGCTTTTCCCACCTCCTTCCCCTCTGACTTTATATTATTATTATTATTGTCTACCGCCTCCTTGCATTGTCTCTCTCTTATATATTATGTATGCACATTTACCAAACACGCGAGCATCCAAACAGTCCCGTTACTTCCGACGCGAGCAATTATAACCATCGCGATTTACGCCAAGTGGCACGCAACATATTATATACATACATGCTTATCACTTTTTGTGTACGAAACATTATGAGCAACTCTCCCCGTATATCGGAGGATTAAATGGGTCGTGTACGTGTATTGTACACCTCGTGGGGAAACTCGTTGAATTATTATTATACACAGGGCATGAATATTATGTATATGCCGAGCAAGAATTTAGGCAAACTTGTATTGTATACATTGATTTATCAGTCACAATGAGTAACAGTGTCGATATATATATATATCGACACTGTTACTCATTGTGACTGATAAATCAATGTATACAATACAANCAATGTATATATATATATTTTTTTTTTTGCAGATCAAAGAGCCGATAGCATCAGTAAAAGCACGAATCAGCAAAAACGGCGCAAAAGAAGAAAAAGAGCGAAAAGATGGCTAGCACGGGTGAGGTGTGGGTGCAGTGGTTCACGTGCTGTTTGACCCAGCAGCGACCGGGAGCCCGAGCCAAACGCCAGAGGCCCCAGCCGAGGCTAAGGATAATCGACAGGAGTACCATAGGCGCCCCCACGAATTTCCAACACACGGGCCACATCGGCAGCGGTGACCTCAACATGGCCAGCGCCCACATCAAGGCGATACAAAACCAGATGCAGGGCAAGGGCGGCTACGAGGCCTCTTTTGGCGTCAAGGTGACCTTTTTTTTTTTTTTTTTTCTTCCTCCTAAGTATATTTTGTTGAGGGTCATTGTACCTGATTTCGGGGCCATTATACGAGAACGAGGTCGTACATAGGAATGTAGGAGCTGTTATTGTTATTCAGACGCGTTTGTGTTAACTTGCTTAACTGCGCGTAATTTAGCAAATACGTACGTGATGTATGGTTTCATGAATAATACGTGGTATCGCGAGGGAGTGCAAGTTTAGTGCTTAATCTATAATGTCTCTTCGCTCTATAGAGTCTTGGATGTAACGTTTGGATTTTCAATCCCAAAAATACTTTTCCCACCACATCCATATATAACATGTAAGTCACGAGCTTTTATCTGCTGCATTGGAGACTTATTTTCGAAAAAAGGCTCTTTCCAGTTCCGGCGTGCGCACAAGCCCAAAGGTCCAAAATAATGGCCCCTCTGCGACACACAAACGGTCTAAGTAACGTTTGCCTCGCTCGTCCACACGAAAATCAATCTTCCAAGAGTATATAGTGCTCGCTACTTCGTAATGGCTCCTCACACCCTATGGGTATATATTATGTATACTATACGCCTTAGCTTTTACTTCCTATAAATATATATATGTACATCCGAATTTATCTTGTTTTTTTTTTGCCGTATCGATTTGAGGTTTTTCCTCGCAGCTGCTTATAATCTTAAATATACGGTTAGTGGAGATGGATCGATCTCCAGTTACAGGGGGCTTGTACTCCCAGACGAGGAACGTAGGGTCCGATTGTGCATAATGACGATTGCTTTTGTCAGAAACGAAGTGGAAAAAGTTGACAAACAAAAACAAAAGTATACCATCCAAGGGCGACGCGACGATTTTTCGAAACAAGAAATAAAGAAAATTCGCTGTGGATGTGCACGCACGCCTGTTATATATTATATATACACCCTCGATAACTCGCCTCTCAGTATGTAATATTATTATGTAGCACGGATGCAGGCATCGAACTGTTTCGTCGTCTCGCAGTTCATAAATTTGTACACTTGTCCAAGTGTATCTCTACACTATATATAAAAAAAAAACAAAAAAAAAGTCAAGACTCTCGAGACGCTCTTCACGCTCACACTTGCATGTTACAGTGGGTAGAGAGAGAGAGAGAGTATAGATAAGAAAACACGACTCTACGTCAAACGTATATTTATAGACACGTAGTAGGATCCTCCGATATAACGTACATTATGTCCCTAAAGACGCCTACTTGGCGCAGATTTTTTCGCGAATCTATAGCTGCAAAACCAGCGCACATCCACTGGGCGATGACCTCCAAGTACACATCATAGGTACTGGAACGACCAACGCGACGAAGCGGAAAGCTTTTGCCGCAAAATTGGATGGAGACTTGCCAAAAAGACTTGCCCTCCCCCTCCGAGTACTATTCTTTTTTTTTTGTTATTGTTATCTTCTTTTGAAAATCCGTTGGAGACCTAAGCGTGGATTGATTTTATCGCCGATCGAATCAACCCACACCCATATGTATTAGGCACACAACAGTCCTGGAGAAGAAAAGCCTCGCCATTTCACCGACCACAAGTATTAATATTGCTTTGGTTCCGGATCGCGTTCTCGGAAACAGGTCGAAAGTTCAACGCCCTCCTCGCCGGAGAGGAAACCCCCCCCCCACGAAAGTACAGCGCTCACTATGTCGCTCTCGAGATTGAATTAAACGCGACGATTTTCCGCGACCCACTCGAGAAAATGAGAAACCCGGCGCATCTGTTTTCGAAAGGTCTGCACCTACTCGTGTATACACATTGTGGTTTTTATAAAACGACGAGTGAAACCGTTATGTAACGTACAAAAATCGCGTCAAGTGTGTATATAAGCTGCGTGACATCGGCTGTACTGGAGGGAGAAAAAAAAAAACTTTGCAAACTCCGTCTCGATTGAATCATCGGCCTACATACGCACACGTGATCGGCGACAAAAACCAGATGGCACACTAGTATATATATACAGGAGCAGATCGCGAGCGTTTTTGTTTATTACGAGCGTCGGGGGCATCGTTAACGCCGCAAGCGCGCAGCCGATGCTTGACGACCTTTGGCGCGGAAATTAGGTCGGAGCGCGGCGTTCCTCTGCTGGAATTGCCGACCCGATTCGCAATTATACCCCACCGGCAACCCCGACGCTATTTCCGAGCGCTTGTGGGCGCGCTTCCTCCGCTAATAAAGAAATTCCTCCTCCTGGTTTTTGTTTTCATACGGGCCAAACGCGGATTTTTTGCCTCGTTGTTTAGCGGCCCGTCGAGTGATTTATCCGTTCTTAATGGGCTGCAAATTCAATCATACAAAATTACACCTACATACGATCGCGCGCGTGTATACGTGTTATGGATAGTTTTTTCTATTTTTTGAGTATTATTCGAGTGCTCTAATAGTACTTCTGTACGCGCTTTGGGAAAAAAAGCAAAAAGCGGGTGTGTCTCGCGATACACGTGCACGGCGCTCGGAGGATCGATTTATTTAAATTTACACCCCGCCATCGCCGGCTAAATTTACGTGTAATCCTCGTCTTCGTCGACACTATTATTTTTCGACGCGTATACGAGCAAGTCGATTAAAGTGATTTCGTACGGTATGCTTGATGCAGCGCAAAACAGGCGCTCTCCTCTATACATACCTACATGTATCAAGTTTGGCGTCGATTGTCGATCGGCAATTCTGTAACCATATACATCTCAAACCATCGAAACTGCCATTTGATAAAATATATATTATGAACTGCGCGTATATATCAACAGATTTTTTTTTTTTTTTCCATCGCCAAACAATGCACTCGGTGTCCATGAGAAACAACTGTATCCATGTACGCGCTGCACTTTCAGCGACAAATTAACTCGCGCTGCAGCGATATCACGTATAGAGTGCCTCCGGATTAGCATAAACCACCGGCTGGGAAAGAAAAAAGGGGATGGGGCAAGAGGGTGAGATAATTTTCGCGGGGCATCCTTGCGCGCACCTCGGCGCGGGTCATTAATTCATGCGGGCACGTATACAAGTCCAAGGCCGCCGAGAGCACTGCGCCTTGAAAAATCATACCACACGCTGCGCACGCGAGTGCATGCATACACTTGCATTGCACGCGCGCGTCGGGAGAAGAAGTTTTCTCTTCTTAAGTATACCGCGCAGGCCATCCGATCACCTTCTTGCTGCTGATTTTGCGCGCGCGAGCACGACGGGAGGCTTGTCTTTTTAATTGTTTTATTTATTTTTTTTTTTTTCTTTTTATCTCTCGAGACTGAAACTCGCGCGGGCAATGCGCGCTTTCGATTGTTAAAAAGCGAAAGGTGATGATGATGGTGCCGTGCAAAGGTATACCTATACGAGTGCGGATTTCATTGCTTTCGCTTGCTCATGCGTACACGCGCGCTTTTATTTCATACACACCTGCATCACTTGGTAATAATATATATGTTATCCTCCGTTCAAACAAATAATAAATTAAATTCTCAACACGTGGCATTAATTTTCAACGCGTTCGCACAAATATCCCAGCAGTAGTTGTGTTAGGTGTGCCTATATGTTACACACACATAGTTTTCCCCGGGTTGGGGCAAAAGGGCGATAAACTTTTGAGAGGAGGAAGAGAAGCAGCCGGCTTAATCTGTCATCGACTCTTGTGTATAGGTGTGCAGGCAGCAAACTCCTCGAGGATGAGTTTATCGCCGCGAGTGAACATGCAACGCTGCTGATGCTGCTGGTTGCAGATCGAGGAGGGACGTACATCCACTTGTTGCCCAGTGAAAAAAAAAAAACCAAGGGCAAACATAATAATGTATCGATGACGCAGCACTTGGTCTCAATTTTTCGATTTTTCGCCCCTGGGGTGATAACAAGTTTCTTTCTTCTTCACCCGTGGTTTTTTTTTTTTTTTTTTTTTTTTTTCCGTATAACCAAGGCAAAAGGAGGGAGGGATCGGGAATTCGTGGTTTTCCAACGGATTAGTGTGCGTTCAATGGGAATTTAATGAAAAAAAGCAAGCAGTTTCAACCAGACCACACGCGTGCACAAGAGGCCTGTTAACCCGCGGTCGTTGGCAATTTTCTTTTTTTTTCTCCCCCATCGCTGCAACTTGAAACGGAGAGACCTTGACATCCAGAAAAATGTCACAACTATATTTACACGAGCGCGCGCGTGTGTGGGAAAAACCCATCGCACGTTTTGTTCTTCCCGCCTCTCTCTCTCTCTCTCTGTTGGTTTTTTTGTTCCTCCTCCCGCGCCGACAAGTAGAGCGCGACCGGTAAAACTTTTTTTGTGTTTTTCTCTCAAGTGTACCGTTTCGCAACGCCTTTCAAATTACTGGTACATCGGCTCTCTGCGGAGGAAAAGTTTGGGGCCTCCCCGTGGATCAAACTTCATCGAACGTTCGGCCGCACGAGAGGGTCGGGAGAACAATGATCGGCGAATGATTTCCAAGAACAATGCGGCTCGGTGTCTTCCCTTCCGAGTTTACCGTTAAAGTTCGTTCACACCTCTCTCTCTCCCCGGTGTATCGAGGGGAAGGGGGGAACATTAGTCTCCTCTGGTGGTTTGGCAGAGGTCAAGAAACCAGTGATTTTTTGGTGGGTCATGTCTGTTTTGAATCATTCCTACTGCATATTATATACATTTAAGTAGTCGATTTTTTTGGTTCACTTTTCACCCCCCGCGTACGAGTGATTTCGATATAAGTAATAATAATAATATTTAAAAAATGTCAGGCTCGTTCCTCTGAATTCGGGAAGACGGATCTGTTCGGCCTCGTCCCCAAAAACCGAGTCACCGTAGGCTTTTTCATTTTTAACTCCACACGCGAGACGTCACGGAATCGGCGCGCCAAATTTTTCGCCTCGATCGTTCTTCAACAGAATATGCAAAACGTAAGTGAGTACAAGTATATGTAGGAGGTCGAAATCGCCGAGCTCCACCACGCGAGGTCAGAGTTCTCATTCCGCTGATGCTTCAAAATACAATAATGTTTAGGTACACACGTAAGTATATATACAGGTACAACTGGTACAAGGAAGGAGGTCGTGCGCATGTATATATGTATATGGTTACACGCACGCTCGTGTACCTACTTACAAATTTTATCCAGTAGAGATCCAATATGTACACTCTCGGAATGTGTGTACTTACGATTGCCAGTCGCGCAAAAAGTCGTTGTTCGACTCGTTGAGGCCGCATTACTTTGTAGTTTTACACGTAAAATGGGGCTGTTTTTCAGCACGACTATATAATATGATATATAGTCCCCGTGGAGGAAAAGAGTCTATTTTGGGGAGTAAAGCAAATTATTGAGCCTATAATAACGAAACCGGTTCGAGTATTATTATCCGCGCGCATCGTGAGATCAGAGTTATACGTGACAGAGTACATCGATTTCCCGTGTCGAAAAAAATACCTGGTTAGATACACCCACGCGTGGTAAGAAGCTTCGCAAGCAAATATCGGGAAAAAGCACTTGGTATTACCTCCTCGTAAGAAGCAATGAGGAAACCTCGCTCTCGCGCATCCTCTCCCGACCGCACGTATAGGTATATAATCTCAGGACGATCGCTGCAAGATTCGCCGTCACGTATATATACACGCGTGAGCCATACTACTGTTTTGCGTACGGCAGCGCGAGAATTTTAAATTTACATTGAATACACTACTTGCCTATACGAGGATGGATGCACGGATCACCCGCCGAACTTCCGGGCGAAAGCTGCGGGAGGAAGATTACACTTGCCGATCACGAACCGATCGCCGACGTAATCATAGGAGCACCCAGGTCGTTGACTCTGTGCTAAAGACCGACTTGTATAATCTTTCGCCACCCCCACCGATCGTCCTTGACGCTGATCATCCAACCAAGGAGACTCGTAATTGTTTTTTCTCCCTGTCCCTTAGGAATCGGATATTAAAAATAATCTCAACCAAAAAGAGGCTTCACTCTGTGTTGTACGGGTTAATGTATAGGAAAAAAAAAAAAAAAGACAGACTACGGCATGCATACCGATCGGGATCGGGAAATCAGTTTCCCCCTTCGGCGACTAATGAGACTTCCGCGCTCGCTACACATGTACCTGTGTATACAGAAGAGTATAGGTGTGTGTGGGTATACCGTTTGAACGAGGAGTATCAGCGGGGGTCTCGGAAGCGGAACGAAAGTCATCAGCGACGCTATCATCGGCTGTTTAGGTCCTTCCCCGTTCGCGTGGGCATCCAGTCCGGGATCTCGGTATCTCTGGTGCCCAGAGAGGGGCTACATGAACATCACAACCGACTAGATAAGCTTGACGAGCGTGCATTTATAGTCTCACATCGTGGTTGTTTACACGCGTACAAAGCGAGGCCCGGTTCATACCCTATCACGCAAATTATTATTATTATTATCATCAATGCCGTGTCTTTTCTTTTTTTTTTTCTTCCGCCCGCCAAGATGTGAAAGTTACTGCTGGGCTATACTTTTACGCGTCCGCACGGACACGAAGGATAAAAAGTGTCAACGATTCGTATATGCGCTATACAATTGATTACTTCGGTCTATCTTCTTGCTTTTCACACGTGTAGTACACCACTTAGCTTAAAAGGTCGAGGGATGATAATCGCTGATGGCCCGGGGCGTGAAATCCCATCAAAGCGCTGATCAAACGGAAACCTCATACATTGCCCATTATATCCTTGGTGGAGCTAAATCGACAACGAAGCTTCTCTCTCTTTTTTTTTTTCTCCCCTGCGACACACGCCTGTCGTCGATGCCGGGGCCTTAACCTTCGGCCTCTTTTTTTTTTTTATAATTGATAATTGCACGAGGGACAGACCCCCGCGTACATATCCGTTACGAGAACTTCCCAATATCAAGTATGTATATAATATATGCACATTAAAAAAGGGGGGGAGGGGTTATAAATTTACAACGTAGGTATAATGAGCTCAAACGGTGTTGGATGTATCTTCAATACATGGAAAAGGGGATGGGGAAGTAATTGATACGCGACTTTTTTTTTTCTTTTTTTTTTTTTTTTTGATTGTTTATTATGTATGTTTATTATGTATGTCGTATGGCTTGTGTATATGTTGCACCTATTGTGCGATAAAGTAGCTTATACGAATCGGATGTGGGGAAGGAAAAAGAGAGATATTGTGCTCTGTTGTATCGTTGATTTATTGTATACAAGCAAATTCATTTTAATTGATATAGGTGGTATACACCTATACTCTTTCGATTGAATGTAATACATATCATATTATCGTCTCGAGAGCTCGATCGATGGTACATTAATTTTTTTTTTTTTCAGAGATCTAACGAGTTTTTTTTTTCCTCCCTCGTACTTGTACCCGTGTTGTTATATGTACGCGGTGCGAATGTAAATTAAAAACCGATTCGATCCGATTTAGATGGAGAAAACGCAAACGCAGAGAGTGGGATATTATTGTTCGATGGACTCTCTCGTGCCCGATTGGGTTTTTATTCATCATACATATAGTAATGATAAATATACTTTCCCAAGAGATAGGCCATCAAATTTATTTACGCGATCTCATTACCGATTGTACGAAGCAGCTGCGAGTTTTCCTTGCACCCATACCCCGGTGTATAGTCTTTTGATCAGAAAATTTAATTGGAATCAAAGATATTTGCTAAATGAAAATAATAATAATAATAATAATAATAATAAATAATCCATGTAACGAATGTTTTGTTTTTTCATGTTTCAGGCCTGCTGAGAGTTGGTTGCCCCGCGGGTGCTCGAGACCGATCTGTGAGAGGTGTATCACGATGAGGAATAGGAAGGGGAAAAAAGGGAGCCAAGAACGCCGGAAGTTCCCCCGGGACAACGATAATATAAAATACACATTGCATCCTTGCACACACGTGGGACATGCTTGTACATATATACGCCTCTTGACTCGCGAACGGGGCGACGCCGCGACGTGCTCACCCTCACCTCTGCATATGGCCCTGCTTTTTTACTGCTGCGACGGTGTCTGCGTGTACATATACTAGACATTGGATGTTTTTTCGTTCGGTTCAAAGAGGATGTAGCGGAATAATGCTCGATTGTAGCAGTGGTGTTGACAATTTTGTTATTCATTATTATTATTATTAATATTATTATTTTTTTTTTTTTTTTTGAGGAGCCAAACTACGCACGTAGTGCGAATTTAATTAAAATTAGTTTTAAAAATTGGGTAATTGATTGTTTTGCGCGCAATACCAGTAAATTACGAGCAATTTATTGTATACAGACTGTGAAATTTCTTTTCCTCCACTCAAACTTCAAACATTTTATTCATCAAAAACAAAAATAAACAAATAAATAAACTGAACTATGCGAAATTTAATTAGTATAATAAGTTAAGTATACAGTATCAGTTGAGTACATTCGACGTTTGTACGATCATTTTTACATGTTATTACGAGTGCTTCGATAATATCTCGAAAAGTCTCTTGACGCAAAGATACGTCGAAATGATATTTATTTGATGTGCGAGCGAGAGACGGCTATGCTGAAACTTTTTTGTTTTTTACTCCGTTTATCGAAGCAACGTTAATTTTAGATCTTATCCTTAACGATTGAATGGAATTATTATATAGATATGATAAATCCGATTTTTCACGGAGTGAATGTTTTTTTTTTTTTTTTTCACGTATATGGTATTTTATAGTTTATAAGTAGCAATAGACATTAACGTAAGAACGTGGATATGTCAAGTAAGCGAAAGAATTCAATAAAATTTAAGCTAGATTTTTAAGTATAAAATTTAATTACGTCTATCTTTAAAACATATGTAAGATCTAACGATGTATTATTAACAAAGACTTTTTTACGTGAAATTATCACATTTATAAACTTGCTTTGATAAATTGATACTTAAGAAAATCTTTTCCTAAAACAATAAATTTTTGTCAAATAAGCGTTTGAAATTTTTAACCTTGTGTATAATAATACCAATGCATCAAAGCAATTTGTAAGATTAACAATGAAAAGACTAAAAGATTGTTTCAACGTTTTACTGATGCTATATAACTGCCTTTAAATAAATTAACTGAAGGATAACAAAACATAGGTATATGAAATGTCTCCCGCAAGCATGTGTGATTATCACCCGATAATTTTTCGTTTGCGTTAAACCTTAGACATTGTGATAAGCTGCGTTCATTTATTCGTCGTTTTTTTCTTACGGATAATCTCATAAGCTGCATAAATTTAAGTATTATACGTACATTTATCTCAGATATACCTCGAATTTTTCTTTCTTCAATGAATGCTGTGATTTAGTCGTCACAAAAAAGTACATCGACCTTTCCTAGTATCTTGTCAAATCTTTTTTACTGTAATTGTTTATTGAAAAAAAACATACGATTTTCAAAATCAAATTATATTCGTCGTTTTATGAAATTTTACACGATTTTGGCAGTATTTACGATTATTATATAACATTAAATCCGATTTATGCGTAAGTTTGTAAAAAAAAACTATTATAGAGTCTGATTTTATACCGTATGCTTAAAAAGTAAGTCTTTGATATAATGTCAGAATTGCATTGTACTCGAGAATTTTTCTCTCAACACTCTTTCTTGTATTTATACGTCTTATACCTGAAATGACAGTCTCAGCCTGTGAGAATAGAAGCGAATTTAAAAAGTTGTTGGTAATGTAGATAAAGAAAACCATACAAATAAATGATATATAAACTTTGAAAAGGCATTAATCCTTTAAACCATCTTCTGACAATAACGAAATCATAGTGGACCATTTTATAAAAAATGGAGGCAGAAATTATTGGACGATAGGTAACAGTATACTAATTCCAATCTCAAATAATCAAGTAACTACCTCGAAATTGAAGTTGTAAAATAAAATAAAATGGTTTTATTGAAGACAGTCTCTATTTCTATAGTTATTATTTTCTAATAACCATGTGATTTTGCTTGCAATTAACCAAACCCCTTACAAGCTTAATTGATGCTAAACTAATAAAGTATTTAATTTGCTTTGAATTTTTTGTATTAGAATATGCTCAATAAGTGTAATAGATATAAGGATAATGAAACTGACGATGATTTAATTAAAAAAAAACTTCGTATTTAATCACTCTATAAAATATATTTCACCAAAATGTTTCAATTTCATATTGATGACAATTTACAAGTTGACCATAGATCACTTAAGAGAAAGCTAAAGAACTGATTTAGTTCAATCAATGCGAATTTACAATCATTCCTCCTCACTATCATTTTTTCCTGCAGCTTCGTCTGCACCATCATTCTCTTCATTGCTACCTGATTCTTCCTCCTCAGATCCTGATTTGGATTCTTCATCCGAATCTTTAAGAGCCTTACTTTTTGGGTGTTTTTTGGGCCGTTCAAAGTCAGATCCCTCTTCATCAGATGAGTAAATATTTTGAGCCACTATAATAAAGAGAGTAGTTAAAATTTATCATGAGGATTTTTTAAATAAATAAGTATGATTAGTGGGAAAAAAGTAATTGACTCACATTTGGAAACTCCACCACCAGCAGGTTTTTTATATTTGTTTTTAATAGCTGCCAATGATATGGCATTTTCATCGTCCGATCCTTCATCGTGATACGGATCATTTCCATAGTTAGCTGCTGCGCGATTACCGCCTCTTCCCTCCCTTGACTTTTTAGGCTTACTCTGTACTCGCATAGCCATGCGTAATTTTTCCTCTTCTTTCTAAAAATGAATATTTAAATAAAAATATATACACTCCTAGTGTTAAGTAAAGATCATCACCTCACAAACCTTACCTTGATCATTTCATATTTGTTTTGATCTGGATTCATGCCTACATGAGAAAGTACTTTAATACCAGATGTTTTTTGGGAACGGTCAGCCAGAGACATTGTCATTTTCCTGTGTGTGAATGATTCAGTCGAGTGTGGCCGGAACGTCAATTTTGTTCTGAAAACTGCTTGCCCTTGCAAACCTGTACCTTGCCTTATGTACAAATGGTTGTGATCTCCTTGCAAAGGCTGCTTGTAAACGTCGAAAATTTCCGAACCAAGGTGCAGAGACATGCTGCTATCTGACCATTTCACAAATCTAGCATTGCTCATTTTTTCTATTTTGCCATCTTCAGTAAATTCTTCTTTCCACCTAATGGTATTTTCGACTTTAAGCTTGAGCCTAGCTCGACCTTCTTCATCAAGAGTTTCCTCCTCATCGATTTCGTCCTCGTAAGTCTCGTGGTCAAAGGGTCGAGTTTCAACTGATAAAAAGTTAGGTAATTTAACAAAGTGTAACTCTCGTCCAAGATCGGTGGAGATTTTGGGAATTTCCACATCAATCCTAGTTTCTGGAGGTGGTTCAGGCTCTTCTTCTTTTTCTTTATCTTCAAACTGAAAAGTTACAAAACGTTATTCACAATATCTGTTTTACTTCTATGACATAAATTACATCGAACATACATCAACAGGCACTTCGTTTCTTTCCTCCGAACGTCCCCTGCTTCTACTCCTGCTTCTACTTCTACTCCTACTTCTACTTCTACTCTTACTGCGACTTTTACTTCTGCTACGACTACGGCTTCTTTTGATTACTGGTTCCTCTTTTTCAATTTTCATCTCCTCCTGGGGCTCTTCATCCTCGTCACTGCTGATATCACTAGCATCACCAAAAAGCGCATCAGCTGTTATCTGTTCTGCTTCTTCTTTCGCAATTTTTCCAATCTCATCATCTGGCTCAGAGTCCGAATCAATCAGCTTTATTTGCTTCTTTTTAGATTTCTTTTCTTTCTCTGAACCTGAATCGTCATCACTCACGTGTGGTCTTTTTTTTAATTCACCTATTAAACAAAAAGAAAAAAATTTTTTTTTCAACAAATCCCAATAATGATAAAAAAAAAAAACAGGACACCGTACCTTCAACTTTCATGGACTTCTCGGATTCGTTGTCACTCTTGTTATCCTTTGGACTGCGAGACTTTCTAGACTTTGGGCTACCACTTTTCCTCGAATCTGCGCTTCCCGAGCGTTTACTCCCTGCCGATCCGCTTCTAGATCTGTTGCTTCTGCGTGAACCTGCAGAAGAGGCTCTCGAGCTTCGACTGCCAGACCGTCTGGAGCCTTGACTGTCGGACCGGCCACTCGCGCGCGACTCTTGGCTGCCCGATCTTCTGCTGGTCTGGGAGCCCTGGCTACCTGAGCGTCTGCTTGTCTGGGAGCCTCGACTGCCGGAGTGTCCACTTGTTTGCGAAGCACGACTACCCGAACGTCGACTGGTTTGAGAGCCTCCACTGCCAGAACGACGACTGGTATGAGAGCCCTTACTGCCGGAACGCCTACTTCCTCGAGATCCACGACTGCCAGAGCGTGCGCTCGCCCGACTGGCGGATCTGCGGCTTCTGGGTGAATGAGAAGCCGAGCGACGATCAGGCGACCTGGAATAATGTTTTGTGGGTACTATTTGCGCGTGTAAGAGAAGAGTTAGAAAAAAGTAAAAATTGTAAACCTTTTACTGGCATTTGACTTTGGACTGTCTGATTTGTGAGTTCCGTGAGGTGAGGGAGAGCGCGAGTGATTAGACTTAGCTGATGTGGCACTCCCAGAACGTCCAGAATGCTGAGAGCCGCTTCTCGATCTACGTGAGCCCGATCTTTTGCTGCCGACAGATCCAACACTAGAACGCCTGGAGCCAGACCTCGCGGGAGATTTGCTCTGGGATCTGTCGGATCTAGCAGGAGACTTGCTCTGGGACTTTGTAGATCTTACAGGGGATTTGCTTTGGGACTTGGCAGGGGACTTGCTCTGGGACCTGGTGGATCTGGCAGGGGATTTGCTCTGAGATCTGGCAGGAGAATTACTGTGGGACCTTGCTGATCTGTGTGATCTTGGACTACCAGGTGACTTGCTTCCAGATTTGTGAGACCTTGGACTGGCAGATCTGGAGCGGCTGGTGTGAGATGCCTTGGATTGATGGTCATCGTCGGAATGATCGGTTGTGGCTGCTCTGGGAGTTTGAGCTGGAGCATGTGAGGATGCTGGACTGCCACTGCGGCTCGAGGCAGAAGATCCCGATCCACTGTCAGAATCTGGTGCATAAATTTGGACATTAAACATCTAAATTCCATTCACATTCAAACCAGTTTGCAAAACATAGTTATAAGAGAAACATAACCTTATAACATGAAAATAAATGATTTTATTTCTTTAACCCTGATCTAGTATTATTAAAAAAAAAAAAAAAAAAAGAACGTAACCATTAGTAAAGCCGTACTTAATGCAAACAACAGCAACTAGAGTACAGCAGTAATTAAAAAACTCAAGAATTACAGGAACCCGAAAATAACGTATGGTACAACCATAAAATTATTTAATCTTTCCTAAAAGAAAAATAATAAAATTTACCTGACTCGCCACTGGAATCGTGAGCTGCTGGTGTCATAGTTAAGTTGATTATGTGGCATCAACAAACAAGTTATAAAATAACGTTTGGTCCTTTTATCCGCAAGCACAAAAATCACTAGTAACAACCGGCTATAAAGGGAGTTTCCTTAGAGAATATATTCTCTAAGGGAGTTTCTTAGTAGACCACAATATAAACTAAAAGAAAAACGACAAGGTCAAACCGTCGGGCTTTTTCGCATGCACTGGACATCAACATAAAATCTGTTGAGTATACCTGTATGTTATACTTATTAAGTACACTTATTTTAAAAGTATTATGCTGATGGCTCTCTTTTTGTAAGAACTTTGTTTTTCTAAAATGGCGCTGCCAATAGAAATCAAGACACGCCGGTGACGGAAGCATCAGCTCCAGCAGAGAGCATTGAGCTGCTGTAGTTTTTTTTATGTAGCGTGTCAGCGTGTGTGCAAGTGACTCCGCGCGCGACTGATGAGTCGGTGAGTTGCGAGAAAGCACAAGCCATCGTCCGGATCATCCGGAGTGTTTCGAACGTGCGCGTGTCAGGTGCAGTCAGCACCCAGCAGCACCTTACAAATCCAAACTCCAGGAGTCCAGATCTCCACGCCAGTTGCATTAGAGCGTGGTTATTATTGTTTGTGCGAGAGACAGAGCTGCGTTCAAACATGGCGGATTGCAACGGTGCGTGTTATTTCGTGCGTGTTTTCCTCTGAAGTTCCCAGTCGGAGACTATCTACTCCCTGAGTCACGACTCCTTGGCCCGGCTTTTTCGTCCTAACCCTCCCACCCAGACTTTGACTCCTGATTTTCCTCTCTCTGCTGTACTGCAAAGAGCTCAGTGTACATCAGGCATGCGTGTCGCGTGCAACTTTCATTTAATCCTTCTTATCTGAATCTTCTGCCTTGAAAAAATAATTTATTGATCCATCCATTCATTATTCCTTTCTTTGCTAGTTTGTGCTGTTGAGTTGACAGTGATCAGTATAGCTTTTTGTTTTTTTATTTCCACAGAGACTAATAATTCAACAGAGGAGCCTAAGCCACAGATTACCATGAAGATCGACAGTCCTGAGGAGTCCAGCGACAACTCTGCCAATGGTGAGGAAGATTATTCTTGTTAAATTTATTGTCGTTGCATTGCTTTGTAATTAAATTACTTGTTCTATCAAGCTTGGAAGTTTGGTTATGAATACTGCAAGCGATTTGAGGGTCTTGTGTCAATAGTGAGTTCAATTTGTTTTTTATACTTTGCAGAGGAGACAGAGAAAATGGTTGCGGAGAAGGATTCGGACAATTCGTGTTCATCCAACAGTATGCACAACAATGCATCAAGTGTGAAGCACGGATGCGTGGTATTGCCAGGAAAAGGTACTAGACTTATTTTAATTAAGAGTTATTCAAGGAATTAACTCATCCCATCCCAAAGCATCATTCCATACAGAACAAGATTATACATTTGACGTGTGATTATACGGTCTATTCTTTTTCATTTTAGGTTCAGCTTTTGCTGCTTCAAGATTTGGAAGTACATTTGGAGATAACGCTTCAAATGCCAGTAGCAGCAACAAGCCATATGTTTTAAAGCCTTCTCTTTTGAGGCCGTCTGCTCTAGGTGCTGTGACTAACAGTAACGCGACGAAAAGTGTTCTAAAGCCCGCCACATTTCATAATCCTTTTACTAATAAAGTGTCTAACAACTCTGACAACGGTGAGTCAGCTGTGGCTGAAAACAGTGAAGACCAAAAAATAGTAGCAGATAGCGAGGAACACGAAAACGAGGAAACGGAAAAGAAAGAGGAGAAGGACAAAGATACCGAGGTACCAAAATTCTTGGCACTGAGCAAAAGTTCAAACGAAAACCCAGTGCCTAGTACAAATAGTTCAGTCGCCACCGCGAGCGCATCGACACCGGGTTTCGTGTTTGGCCAGAACCTCAAGGAGCGCGTCACTGTGGCACAAGATGAGAGTTTGGATAACGCGGAGAAAGAGGAGCCCAAAGAGGAGTCGGCCTCCAACGAGAACGGCACCTCTACGGAATTAATGTTCTCCAATGCGGCTGCCGTTGCCACCAAGAGTACAAGCAAGCCTGGTCTGACGCTGTCGCAGGCTGCACAAGAGATGGAGGAGGCGAATCGCGCGAACAAGAGGAAATACGACGAAGTGGCGTTGTTGACCGGCGAAGAGGACGAGACGAACATTTTACAAATTAATTGCAAACTGTTTGCGTTCGACAAAGTAAGTTTCAAGTTAATCTTATTTGGTGTGAATAAGGCACATACAGAAAAATCTCATGGCTTTTTTTTTTTTTTTTTACAGACGACGAGTAGTTATCAGGAGCGAGGTAGAGGTTCGCTTCGGCTGAACGACAAGGACGAAGAGTCGCGGTTGATTAGCCGAGCAGCCGGCACACAGAGGCTACTACTCAATACTAAAGTGTGGTCCGGAATGACAGTCGAGAGGGCCGGTCCGAAATCCCTCCGACTTACCGCGATGGATGCCCAAGGCGAGATCCGGATCTTTGTGGTGCAGGCGAACCAAAAGGAAGTCGAAGAATTGCACGATCTCCTGTTGATACGACTGAAGCGAGCCCAAGACCGTCAGCCCAAGAAGCTTGCGACCGAGCACTGACGCACAAAGTAGAGCAAGACTTGTTCTTTTTCATCCACGGGCGGGCACCGTATATATCTCTGTCTACAACTCAGACACTCCATGCAGGCATGTCTGGACTATTTTTTTTTTCTGTGAATTTGCTCTTGAGCGCTTGTGTATAAACGGCCTTTAAAGTGAGTTTCTTATACGTGATCCCTTTTTCTATATCTAATTTCTAATACCTTATACGTGATCCCTTTTTTATACTTACCAGAGTCATTGTAAGGTAAAAATACTATCTAAAATGTATTTTTTTTTTTTTTTAAATAAACGATTTGTATCAATGTTTGCTCGATAGCACACTAGAAAGTATGGATTTGTGTTCCAGACTTTTTTCTGATTTAACGCTGTCTTGGACTCTTTAAATCTTTAAAACTTAATCTTGAGCGTTTCATCCGACATCTGAGATTTTCGTCAGAAAGTTATATCAATGAATTTATCCATAATTGTAATATGTTAATTATTGTATCTTCAAAAAATTTATTCTTGGATTGAAAATACTCTTACACCTGAAAGACTCAATATTGAATTTCTTAGTTATTTTTTGTCTCTTTTTAAAGTGAGTATAAATGCGATTATAAATCGTATAGATGTAAAACTTTTTTTTTTTATTATTTGTACATAGCAAATCAACTAATTCTTAAATTTTTTCACTTTACTCTTATTTAGTAAAATAATTGAAAAGGTGCAAGTATTTCTCTGGAGCGAATGACAGGAGCGTCTTGAAATAAGATTAATAATTGTCAACTCAGACTGTTTTTCATATAAAATGAGAAGACTACTATAATATTTATAAAAAAAAGCAAAAACGTATATTTAAAATGCAAAAATTTATATTATAGGTAAACTTTGTTTATTAAAAGAGGTTGAAATAGATTCAACTAAAAGTAGTTCACACGTCGACTTAGTGCGACTCATGTGGTATAGCGTAAATGCTTTTACTTTAGATTTTTTTGTGAATACAACCTTTTTTTAATCATTCCTGCAAGTAAAACTCCAAGAAACATACTTTTTTTATGAATATCTATAATGTGGAAAAGAAAAAACGTAATATGCAATATGAACAGAAACTACAAAAATTAATTTTTGAATGAATTTACAAACTTAAAATTTTTTACATGATTTACAAGCAATTAATTATTGTTGCACGTATATTTCTAACGAATACCGAAAGATATTTAAATGAGTTCATTGTACCCTAATGTGTATCAGCATTTATGTTGGATATCAACTTGAAAAGAGCATATTTTTTTGATGAAAACCCATAATTATGGCTACTTTTAAAGAAAATGAGGGATGAGTGCGACATGTACGAATGTATAACACTGTCGAGGCTGGAGAGAGATTTTTCATTGTACAATTATCAATTGATTTAAAATGCAGCAGAGAAAGGCGAGAACATTGATAATTAAGCAGCGTTGCTAAATATACGACCTGAACAATAGTGCTTTATCGATTAGCGATTATTTTTCATCAACACAACGCGACCTTTTGTCCAGCAGGCATGTTGAATGTAAATTATTGTTCTGGATTGACAGCGAAATAATAGTAATGATGTTTCAAAAAATACTATAATACCTTGTTCAATTTTTAGCTGTAAATAAAATCTCCAACTAGTAAATAAAACTTTTCACCATTTTAACAACCATCCACAAATTTTTGCAGGTGCAGTAGAAGCTAACAATTTCTGGGACACCTTATAATGAACATTGATTTTTATCAACTGACGAATTGTTGACAAAAAATACCCTAATTGTAAAAAAAGAACTAGAAATATATGCATGAGAATAATAAATAAAAAACTATTCCTAAATAACTATGAATAATTTCTAACTTTTCTCACCTATTTTAATGAAATTATAAGTTTAAAAAAAGTTGTTCCATACTAACATTTTGCCGTAAAAATTGAAGAAAGAAAAAAATGTAGAGGTTTATTTTTATTCTAGTTAATTTTTTTTTTTTTAATTTTTATGTCAGGGTTGATTCTTTGTTGTAAAAATAACTGCAGGATTTTCTGATAATGCAACATTTTTAAGTAAAAAAAGTTTTTTAAGCAAACGAATGTTGTAACGATATGTAATTTTGTTTGATAGTTATCGATAGAAATCGATTTAACGAGTTCGATCGATATTTCGAAATATCCTCTGAAGCAGACGAAACTGACGGGCAGATAATGGTATACGAGTCAATGATTCGTGCAACAACAATTAAAAAACACTCGTGCTATATATTTACAAACAGCATCAGTGATTGGCGAAAGTTAATTGTTTTTCTAAACATGGTTCAAACAAAAGCTACAAACTCTGTCGGCCAACGTTTCAAAGATAAAAACGGTCGCTTTGCTCGAAGAAAGGTTGTAGAGAAAAAACAAAAAGCCTTAGTTGCAATGGCAAGAGGGAAACAACGGAAAATGCAAAATAACAAAGAACTAGACGAGAAAAATCTGGAACCATGCCAAAACTTGGGGGGCCTCAATTGTAAGGATGTACTTGAAAGTTCAATGCAAGAGAGTCTTCCTTCAGTTCCAAATGAGGAATGCAAAAACTCTGAAGTAAATTGTACCACAAAGACTGAAAAGTCTACCTATGATATTAATACTAAAGCGGTGCTTGGTAAGTTTTGAATGAATCATTATAAAACAAATCGTATGTTCATGTTGCTTTGTGTTATCTGTAATACTTTTGCAGGAACAGTAAATTCTGGGATAGGATGCGTAACCCTAAATAAATTTTTATCTTGTCTCAACATTCCAACAATTTCAAACGAACTGTACGAAAGGTATAAACAGGACGTTAGATTATCAATAGAGAAAATAGCTGATGATGATTGTTCAAGGACCCCAAAAGAAGAAAGCAATTTAGTCATTAATAACATCGACAACACAACATGCGTAAATGTGTAAGATTTGTTTTTACCGCCAAATGTAAAATATTTTAATGTTTAGTAATAATTTATTATCAAATTGGCTATTCACCAAAGTGGTACATTGATGAAATTCATTCAACAGATTTTTACAAATTTCAAACTTGAAAAAATAAACAAAATTAATCATTTGATGCTTTGTACTGATAAAGATAAATTTTACTCTCACATTAATATATGTGAATAGTAAAATATCAAAATTGTAAAAGGATTTTTTTTTTCATTACCATAATCACAGCAACTGTATATATACCACTTTGTCTCATGAACAAGAACAACTCAATAAAGTTTGAATGATATATCAGTAGTACTTCTAATTTTCTCCTCGAGGACCTCAATAAGAATAATACATTTCCACACATATATCCAAGTAATTAAGCTCTGCTTTACAAATTAAATTAAACGATACCTCGGTTAACTAATAAGGTCTTAGACGTTATTGCAACTTTTCATAAAGTTTACTGATTTTCCTTGTTTTGTCACAAATAGCACAGCAAACTTATCACCAAGAAGAAAAAAACATAAAAACCATGGGCAGACCCAAGTTGGGCCTTTTCCCAAAATCATATACTTTTTTGTACTTAACACACACGTGTAGATAACGTGACGGTAAAATTCGACAAAAGTACGTTTATTAGTACACTGTTTACTAGGAAAAAGTATTCTGGATCCTAATCTGTACTCTGTAATCTTGCATCCGATGCTCGACATTTTTCGAACGATTGTGCGCCCTCACGGATGAAAACGATCAGGATCAAAGAAGAAATCTCAATATAGCTTCCAAATGTCACCGCGATCGCGTATTTGAAAAACGCCGCGCGATGAGCTTTTCCGCGGAGCTTCACACTATCTCGTCGTCGTGTTTTATTTATAGAAATAGCGGCCGAAAGCTATGTGTATATAATTATCCACCACCGGCTGGCCCACAATATATTGTATTCTCCAACGCAAAAGCTCGACGCCGCGTGCCAACACAGAGAACTCACCGTCAATGAAGCTCCCATCGGCGCGGCGCGCGTTCGCGTTGCTCATACATATACACATGTATAGTATACAGCTAATCGGTAGCGATAGCAAACCGAGGCACAAAAAATCGGGAAAAATGGAGTTTGTCGTTGAGCGCGGCAAGTAGACGAGATCGGTAGAGCATCTCAACAGGGGACCGACACACACGAGCGTATATACATATACATATATATATATATCCGTACACGCATACAAAACAATTTCCTCTCGCTCATCGGCCGTGCTGTACGAGTCATGGGCGGTGGAAAATATTTTTAGATCATTCGAGGAATATCTGGCGCCGCGACGCTCCCGTTGCGATTAACCGCCGATCGTCCGACGCACACGCAACTTTGCTTTAACGCTCGCGCGCGCAAGCTCTCTTTCTTCCTCACCCCCCCCCCCACGTGAGGAGACTCTTTGCACATACACGCGTTGTACAATTGCTTGTGGCGCATATATTTTACACGCACGCACTTTTTCCGCTGTGGTTGTCGCCAGATTGTCCGTACACCAGTGAAAACCGTTCCAAACATCGTGTACAGATTTTGCCGTTCATCAACCGACGTTCCAGTCCCAACTGCCGCACGTTCCACCGAACCTCGTACCGTCGATTCCACCGCTTCAGCTCGTAAGTCACTCAAATCGATCACGATAAAATCATCAATGTTATCATCCCTATCCCAAGGCCAACCCCGAAGCGTCCATATATAATATACTCATGCGCCGCCTAACGTGCACCTGCTCACATATACACAGTTGTTGTTGACGTCGGGTGAGTCCGCGCGCAGCTACGTCGTCTCGTTTGGGGTACGCAAAGTTGTTGGCTGGCGGGCAAGACGGCGGCGTCGGCACCACCACCACCACATCCACCGGACACAAGGAGGAGGAGGAGGAGGAAAAGGCGTCCCGGGGCCCGCGTCGGGGACTCTTTTCCAAGATGTTCGCCGGCTCCCGGGCGGCTTCCCCCGGGCCCGTGCAGTTCCAGTCGAGCCGGACGCCGCTGCTGCAGCGCGAGGCCAAGAGCCCGGCTGAAGCGCGCACCGGCAACAAGAAGTATGTTTACAGGTGAGCAGCGCTATACATACCTCTTGTTTTGCCACTTTTTTTTACGGGTCCGGCGGGGGGGAAAAAAAAAAAGCGAGTCAGCGCTTCCCGAAAATATACGCGCTCCGTCCTACAATATACATACCGGCCGCTGCTCCACTTTTCCCGTATCTGCCCGTTCCGCGACGTATACACGGGAGAATACGAATACAAGTTGGAGTTTGTTTTTTTCATCAATTTCCAAAGCTTTACCATCATGTGTACATGTTCTTTTTTTTTTTTTTTTTTTTTCTCAACGGAGAGATGACACTTCTTCTTCGTGTTTGGGTTGACGTGGGTGAACGAGGACGCGTGTACATAGATGAGTCATCTCGGGTAACTGGGTTGATAAAACACAACCAAAGAGCCTGGACGCGTGGGAAGTGACGAAAAAAAAACAAAATAGTGCACCCTCCAGCCTTGGCGTGAAAAAATTAATTTTGAAGAGATAAGCTACTCGGCACGTACAGCTCTCTGGAATTCCACGGAGGCTTGTGTGCGGGCACGATGATAAACAAACACCTCGGGGGTGGGCTCTGTTGTTGATGTACCGATCTCGCGCAGAGCTGGGAACTTGAAAAACAAGAGAGAATTGAATTGAATTGAATTGAATTGAATTTATTGTTTTAAAGAGCTAAGGGCTACAGCCCTTGATAGCTCGGCATACTACATGATTATTGCTATCAACAGCAGTTGCCGCAGGTAACTGCAAAACACGTACACACATATATCAGTTTGAGAGGATTTAAAATTATGTTATATCAATAAAACTAACAAATAGAACTAACAAATAAAATAACAATATCTAAAGGAGTGATAAATGTGAGAGCAATACTGTAAATATAAGTAATAAATAAATAAATAAATATATATATATATAAGTAGTAAAACTGGTTAAAATGTCAGCAAAGAACAGTTAAGAGAGAGAGAGCTCCATCAGCCGGTCCGATGATTTTCCAATTGGTTTCAGAACGAGGATACCGTCGCCGGTGAACCCGGAGAACCTGCCGCCGGCCTCGACGTCCACGGGACGGTCTTACGTGTACAGGACGCGGGTACCTCGGCGGGACGTGGTCGTGGACGCTGCCAGCGAGGGCCCCCAGGGCAATCCGATCACTCGACGTCGCGGCGCCGTCAAGCACCACAAGGTCCACGTCATACGGGGACACAAGCTCGTGGCCAAGTTCTTCAGGCAGCCGACCTTCTGCGCCTTTTGCAAGGACTTTTTGTGGTGAGGATTTTTCTTTTTCCTCCATTCCTCGACGACTACTTGCATTCCTATTTATGCATATGGCTTTTTGTTCCAGGGGCTTTGGAAAACAGGGCTACCAGTGTCAAGGTAAACGGACAACCGTACGACCGGTTCAATCGGCCTGCAATGTACCCACTGATGTGGGTGTTTTTTTTTTTCTTTTGTTCCAGCGTGCCAGACGGCTGTTCACAAAAAGTGCCACAACAAACTTCTCACCAAGTGCCCGGAGAGCGGGAGGGAGTCCGAAAACACAATAGTAAGGAAAATATGTGTATATACGCAGCGCGAAAAGCCTCGGCGTTTGGCCGAAAACTCAAAAATATCCGTCGATGATGCTCGATGAGTCCGTGTGTGTATAGAATGCGGTTGAAATCCAAAAACGGTGACAAACAGTCGCGCATTGTCGCGGAGCAGACACGTGATCGTCCGAAGACAGTCCATTTGGCAGAGATGGCACTCGCGTCAATTAGGGAGAATAGGCGACTTTTTTCCCCCCCCATCTTTCGAACGCGTTGGTTTCTCCGCTGCAAGCGCGGATGAGGAAATCGCGCGGATTTAGCGCAACTCTGGCGCGTCGCGAGCGTTGGCTGTCCGTGAGCCTGTGTGCATATGTTGTATCGTCGATCGAACTGTCTCGTGCACCAATGGCTGTTATTAATTATCGAAACGAGCTTAAATTAATCCAACGAAATCGTCGAAACGAGCTTGGACGGATTTTATAGTTGTATTAATTATTTTGGGGAAGAGGGTCTGTATCAGTGGTTGAAAGATTTTACGTCACGTGACTTATCGGTAATTCATGAAAATGTGACTGATGAAGCTGTTTGTGATACTTTTTCAAGCAGTGATCCAATGGTTCTAGTAAAATGTTTGACTCAAGGAATCAGATCGGCCGCAAGAATAATCTTTTTAATCAATTTTGATTCAAAGAGCAGCAAATTTATTGGCAATACAACCGCGGCGCCATGTAATTGATTTTTAATCTTTAAAAAAAAAAAAAAATGTGTTTGCCCTGCAGTACCTGAAGCAAAGGTTCAAAGTCGACGTACCACACCGGTTTCGCTCGCACACCTTTGTTTCGCCGACTTTTTGCGACCACTGCGGCTCTATGCTCTACGGACTCTTCCGCCAAGGTCTCAAGTGCGACGGTAAGTACAAACAACTCAAACCTCATATATATACCTTCGACATTCTGGAGTTTTGATCGGTTTTACGATGAACGGTGCCACTTGCGAAACGTCCACCTGTTGCCCAAAAGATCGCTCGCCAAATTTAGAAGAGCTAGCAAATACCCCCCCTGATAGCTATTACTTTTCCCCAATAAAATCTAGAAATGAGAAAACGATCATCGAAATTAATTCCTCCTTCGAGAAAGAAGAAGAAGGTAACCCCCTACACGTTGCAGGAAAGAGCGACGCAAAGTCTACCGACTCTCGTCGGGCGTACCTATCGGCAGCGAGCTCTTTTCCCGCGCCAGGGAGGAAGAGGAGAAAACAGCTAGGGGGAGGGTAGGGGAGGTAGGAACGACTGCTATTACTACACTATACCCGGCTAGGCCGGTCGTCGTCGCGCGAGAAATTCTATTCTTGCGGCCTCTCGTCTCCTGCGCCCGGAGAGTTCGAGAGAGAGATAGAGGAAGTCGGCCGCTGGCCGGTTTGCTGAAACACGCAGGGACCAGTCGGTCTTGGCTCCCTGAACCGTGAGAACGCCGGCGATCGGCGGCGCCTCCACGTCGTCGTCGTCGTCTCGTTGTTCCCACCAAATACACCCGAGTCAACCGTATCGCGTCCAGTGCGCGTGTATCACCCCAAAGATCGACGACCCGATCCTATACCGATTCCCTTCGAGCGATTAAAAAGAAAAAAAAAATATACACGTATACCCTGTACGATCGGCTTGTGTAACCGTGCCACCGATGTGGGTGTGACGACAGCAGGTCAGCTTGCATTGGTGAAAACGATATCTGTGCGGGCGGTGGATGAGGTTACCGATCTAGAGAAGAAGACAAGAAGAAGAAGAGGTCGAGGATGCCGTACTACGGGGATGGGGCGCCGTACTATTACGGCGGGGGCGGTGGCAGTCCCTTCTCCAATCACAGCTCGTTGATGACGAGCGTTGGCCGGTAAGACACGCGTGTGTACACACGCAACGATCGCTGCGAGTGCATGTGTATATTGACAGATGTATCCGATGTGCGATATATGCGCACCCTTCCCCATGTTGACAGTTTCGAGGGGGCGATTAATCGCGATTGCATCGGGCTCTGGCAGCGATCGGGAGTGCCCCGTTGCTGTCGATCGGCCGCATCAGTTTGATATTGAGGGCTCGATCGGTCGCGACTGTGCATGGGCTCTTTAACAAGTTTCGTTCGCTTTGCTTTGCTCGTTCGAGCTGTGGGCTGGAAGGCCGAGTGGGGAACTACTTTTTTGGTAAGATCGGCAACTTGCGGTCTTGGTCGCAGGGTTTTCTCACATAATTCGTGCTGATTTACAATAAACGATTCGCGTGATGATGAAATTTCTTTCTTTTTTCTTTCTTTTTTTTTTTTTTTTTTTTTTTTTTTTTTTTTTTTTTTTTTTTTTTNTTTTTTTTTTTTTTTTTTTTTTTTTTTTTTTTTTTTTTTTTCCTTTTCATACTAATGTTTCGACTTTCGCGTCAACTTGGCATCCCATCAAAGCGTGTGACTGCGTTAGAGAGCGCGGGGTTATCTCCCTCTTTTTTTTTTTTTTTCTCTCCGTTTGTACCTAGCTGGCGTCGAGCTGTTTCTCCCTCGTCGTTTGCGAGACAAGAGAACCTAGGGATGTGGTGCTGTGTGGTTTTGCGAAAAAAAGTTTTTTTGACTGATCACTCGGAGCTTTCACCGGCTTTTCGGTTCTCTTGCGTGCTTTTCGGATCGGAGTTCACGCCAGGCAATTAAAAAGCCAAAGACCAAACTGTGTATATGGATAGAGTTGGGATTTTAAAATTAGGCGTTCGGCTGAAATAGAGTATTTATTTTAGAAAACCTTGCCGGTGAGAGTTGCGGATGCATGGAAACAGGTATTTTTGAATATGTACAGGTATCTTTGAATAGATTGCGCGAAATACGTATAGTGTGTAGCCAGACTTCGGCACGGATGCTTTTTTTTTCTTTTTTTTTTATAAGTAACCACTTTTATAATAGACTGCTTAACAAAATTTTGTACAGTAAAAACAATGGATTGAAATTTTAAAGAAGAAAAAATGATTTGGAAGATAAAGGTAGTCAACGTATTTTAATATTTTATTTCAAATTTACAACGAACTTTAATTTAATTATCTGCAAGAAAAAATAATAATTTTTAAATTATGGTTTAAAAATCCATAAAACAATTGTGCCCCCAAAGTCTCAATAGAGCTTGCATATTTCGTTTGAATTCTCAGAGGTTCGAAAATTCAACGTTACATTAAATAGCGCATGAATCATCGTAGTCAGCTCGCGTTGCCAATTTAAATTCTATTTGGGTGTATAATCGGGAGTACAACCAAATTAACGTCTGCACGCAAGGCAAAATTTATTACAAGTTTTTTTTTCTCTCTCATTTTCAAACACCCTCTCCTCGTATTGTTATACTTTAATCGTTAAATAGACCCCTCAAAAAAATGAAAAATCGCATGCTCCGAATAAATCTACTTCATGTTCATAAATCTCCGGAGATGGGTCAAGTCTAGCGTAACTTGTACGATTCTCTGATTTACAATAAACGATTCGCGTGATGATGAAATTTCTTTCTTTTTTCTTTCTTTTTTTTTTTTTTTTTTCTTTTTTTTTCGAAACAATATAAAAAAAACCTATCGCCATCTAATTTTAGACCGCAAAACGGTAAAAGCCCTTGTAATAGTTGTGCTCGGGATGAATAACGTTTCGGGCGCATTCGTCAAATTGGATGGAGTTTCGTCACGGCCACTGTACACTTTTCTAACGTTCGCGAAAAAGAAAAAAAAAAAAGAAAAAGAAAAAGATTCAATTAAAATTTTTTGCTCGAGGAAATATTTTGCATCGGCACTATAAATCACAAAATGAAGATCGTGCGGATAATTTATTTAATCAACGCAAGATTTGTAGTTTATTTTAATCGAATTAATTTTCCCATGCAGCAATAATTTAAAATACTATGTATGCATGTACTATATATAAAAGCTTTGCATGCACTAGTTGCGCTTCGCTTATCCTGCCAAATTTTTTTTTTCACGCAGCTTACCACAAAAAAAAAAAAAAGTATTACGAAACAGCGGTATCAGACGAGTATATACCTTTCTTCTTGAGTACACAATATGTAAGAGCCGTATACCGATCAATCACTCATAAAGACTCCCGCAAAAGTCCATATGTTATATTCAAGTGCAAGGAAATCCTCATGCAAATCGGTAAGCCGAGAAGCGCCCGAGTAATTGCCAAAGGTCAGCGGCGATTCGAAGCGAGATTTTACCCGAACCGCTGGCCCGAAAATAGCCGTGGCGCAGAAGAATGGCTCTCCCTATGTGCCCGAGCGCGCGCTTTCGGTCGTGAGTATAGACGAATTTTAACGATGCACCGATAAAAGGCAAAAAAAAAAAAAATGAGAGAGAATAGAGGATAAAACAGTTCCGCGTTGGTGTGGCCTCGCGCGCGCTGCTGCTGGCTTCTCTCTCTTTCCATTGTTGTACGTATATCTGATGCTTTAGCCCACTCGGCTGATTTGACATTTGAAAATAAGTCAAAATCACTTAGATTCGGTCGCCGTGAATCGTGTCAAATTGGTCAAAAAGATTTTTATCGAGCGATCCGCAAATCAGTGCAGGAGCTCGAAATAGAAGCTCAGTGCGTGTACGCGATTTTTCTCCCAGTGCATCGTCGGGTGGGGGGTTTTTTTTCTCCCCTGCGCGACTATCTTCCTCCGAACACGCGAAAATTTGGCGAGCCAGTGTACCGAGTCGGTGTGCCAAAAATCCACGAAATCACGCGTACACACCTTTGACTTGCGTATCAACTATTTGCTCTCGGGTAACGCACGGGGACTGGAGCGAAAATTAATATGTTTTATTTCTAGACTATCGCTCCGCCTCAGAAGTGCGCTGTTAAGTATCTAAATCTTTGTTAAAAACACGCGTTTGCGTAAATTCACTCGAAATTACGCGTGGTATTGGGGAGGGGGAGGAAAAAAAAAAAAAAATGTTACCGACACATTTTTGGCACGGCTGTAGTTTCATAATTCACTCGACGCGTAAAGCGATTATTGAGAGCGTTCGAGTCACGTGACGACAAAGACACGAGTCGAGGGATTTATTTTAACGTGCACTGCATAGGATACCGGTGGAAATTCCAAGGAGGAGACTCGAGAGTTTGGTAGGCGATTACCCTTTCCTCCTTTTTTTTCTTTCTTTCTTTTCAACGAAAAAAACAAAGGTTGTACAACTCGCGCGCGAACGGAAAATAAAAATAAATTTCTTTTTTTTTTGTTCTAGTCTCCGACACGGAAAATTTACGGCTCATTAAGAGCTCGTGTCCGACTTCTCGATTTTGTAAATAAGCGGTTACGCAACGGGAAAAACGGGCGGTTAGACGAGCTTTCAAGGACGACTCGTTTATTTATAATAATCAGACAATAGATCCCACGGGGTCCTCTTTTTATTTTCCTCAAATTTCTTTTCCGCGCGTCAATCATCGTGAGCTCATTGCTTGCATTGGCCCGAAACAACAACAACAGAAGCGAAAAACAACGAGAAAATCAAACCCCCATTTCCTGTTGAGATGCGTATATATATACCCGAGAGAAGCCGTTAAAACTCATCTTTAAATACCCCTACGTTATTCTGGCCGAACAATATGTTCTTTATGAGCTAAACCGTGGCATTTATCAACAACAAGCCAGCTGTGTCGCTCGGAGTAGTTTAAAAGTTAAGTTCAAGGTGCGTCAATTAGATAAATCGATCGCAATTCCGAATCGCGTCAAAAGTAATGCGCGTCAGCGTATCCGTATATTAAGTAGTAAAAGCCACGCTGTGGTCAGACGCGGCTCTCGGGGCAGGTTGAACGAACCCATAACAAAAAACACGTAGCTTTCCCCACGTTGTTTTTTTTTTTTTTTTTTTTTTTTTTTTTTTTTTTTTTTTTTTTTTTTTTTTTTTNTTCTCTCCGTTTGTACCTAGCTGGCGTCGAGCTGTTTCTCCCTCGTCGTTTGCGAGACAAGAGAACCTAGGGATGTGGTGCTGTGTGGTTTTGCGAAAAAAAGTTTTTTTGACTGATCACTCGGAGCTTTCACCGGCTTTTCGGTTCTCTTGCGTGCTTTTCGGATCGGAGTTCACGCCAGGCAATTAAAAAGCCAAAGACCAAACTGTGTATATGGATAGAGTTGGGATTTTAAAATTAGGCGTTCGGCTGAAATAGAGTATTTATTTTAGAAAACCTTGCCGGTGAGAGTTGCGGATGCATGGAAACAGGTATTTTTGAATATGTACAGGTATCTTTGAATAGATTGCGCGAAATACGTATAGTGTGTAGCCAGACTTCGGCACGGATGCTTTTTTTTTCTTTTTTTTTTATAAGTAACCACTTTTATAATAGACTGCTTAACAAAATTTTGTACAGTAAAAACAATGGATTGAAATTTTAAAGAAGAAAAAATGATTTGGAAGATAAAGGTAGTCAACGTATTTTAATATTTTATTTCAAATTTACAACGAACTTTAATTTAATTATCTGCAAGAAAAAATAATAATTTTTAAATTATGGTTTAAAAATCCATAAAACAATTGTGCCCCCAAAGTCTCAATAGAGCTTGCATATTTCGTTTGAATTCTCAGAGGTTCGAAAATTCAACGTTACATTAAATAGCGCATGAATCATCGTAGTCAGCTCGCGTTGCCAATTTAAATTCTATTTGGGTGTATAATCGGGAGTACAACCAAATTAACGTCTGCACGCAAGGCAAAATTTATTACAAGTTTTTTTTTCTCTCTCATTTTCAAACACCCTCTCCTCGTATTGTTATACTTTAATCGTTAAATAGACCCCTCAAAAAAATGAAAAATCGCATGCTCCGAATAAATCTACTTCATGTTCATAAATCTCCGGAGATGGGTCAAGTCTAGCGTAACTTGTACGATTCTGAAAAATTTGTGATAAAAAAAAAAAAAAAAAAGTAATAACAACAATGATAACGCGTATTCGGGGACGGAGAAACCTGGTGATCCGAAATAGAGCGCGCGGTGCGAAAATTTCGCCGTCAAAAGACCCGCAGGGAGAGGCTACACTGGGCCAACAAGTGTTCGAGCCGAGGAGTTTTAAAATTAGCCGGCCGTGTCTCTTTCTCCCCGCTGGCACCTATTACGCGCAACTCTGACTTACACCGCCGTTGAGACCGAAGGGCGCTGAACTATGCCCCGCCACCGTCGCTGCATTGAGACATCACCGCGCGAGCTCGATAATCTATATACAATATGTTAGGGTAGCGAAAACGATGTGACGTAACGTTTTACTCGGTCCCCCGCGGGAATTTTCGATTTTTTCCAATAACGAAAATACATGTAGACACCGGAGACGTAAGTTTATTTTGTAACGAGATCAATTTGTCGACAGCTCAATCTCGCGGGCGCGTCTTTTTTCCGAGTCGATTTATGAATTTGGCAAGCGGAGAAAGAACTTTTGCAAAAGCAGCCAAAAACGTTATTAAACGTTTGCCGAACTTTTTGCGCCGATTTTCCAAGCTCTTCCGCGAACGGCATCTTCGGGGCTTTTACGTAACGAGCGGGTGAGCCAATGCCCCGTTGTATGCGTATTATATATAATGAGAGTTTTGCAAAATTCCCGAAATTACAAAAGGAACGAGTGTCAGGAGACAGGCTTCCTCTTTGGAGGCGCCAACGCAAATACCGACTCTTGCAGCCGCTCCAGCCCGAGGGATATAAATAAAAAACGAGGCAAACGATCGCGCTTTTAGCGTGGTTATTGTATACGGTTTTTTCGTTTAAAAAGGAAAAATGCGAAGCGATTTTTTAAAGGCATACCGAAAGTGGGTGTAAGAATAAAAAAAAAAAAAAAAAAAAATTTGTCCATTCGTGACGTGCGTGGGTTTAAAAGACCATCACACACAGGTACACTTTGTTATAATAAAGAACAAAACAAACCTCAAGAAGAAAGGTATACTGCAGTTTATTTAATTACGGTAATTATTGTCCAATGATGCAACACATTTGAACAAACAGTTTAAAACACTAGCTTGGCTATAAATTTAACGCGACGCCCCTCCCCCGCAAAAACCCACATGTATTAACGAAGGAAAAGCCCAACGAGTCCCCCATCAGATAGATATACCTATGCATATGTAAAACTGTCCAACAGCTACTACAGCCCGATCGCGGCTCGCTACTCGCCGCACCTGTCGACGATCTCGGAGTCGCCCTCGCCCTTTGGCCACCGCCGCCGCCACGTGTCCACCACCGGCGCGTCCCCAAGCGGCACCGCCGCCTTTGGCCGGCCCCGTCGCACGATCGACACCGCCGACATCGACGTCACCAAGCCACCGCGCAACTACACCCAAGACACCCACCACAACCAGACCAACAATCGGCACCGCCTCCGCCGCGATCGCCCGACCATAAAGATCCGCTCGCAGGCGCTCAAGGACAACCCGGCCCTGCGCGAGTACAACGAGAAGCACGAGAAGACCGTCGGCGAGCTCCTGGTCGAGAAGTTCCTCATCAAGGACAAACAGCCGGCTGCCGAGCGCAGGATGCGGCTGTACCACCAGGCGAGTCTCCTACGACTACCCGAGGAGGAGCCAGTCAAGGGAAAGGAGGAGGAGGAGGAGGAGGACTTGTTGGCCGCGATGAGGCGACGCGTCACCAGGCGCATGACCCGAAGGAGGTCCTCGGCGGACGTGGTGCCCATGAACCCGGAGCAGATAGAGCGGGAGGCGGCGCTGCTGGCCGCGCAGGCCGAGGCCCTGGACAGCCTCGTGGCGGAGGAGCAGGCCGAGATCGAGGTCGAGGTCAGACGGGGCACCTTCGCCAAGAGGCAGGCCATGCGCTGCCTGGCCGTCGACGTGTCCGAGACGGAGGACGAGGGGGACGAGCCGACGGCCCCGAGGAAGAGGAAGCACCAGCGCAAGAGATCATCGATGGAGAGGCGCGAAGTGGATAGCGACGAGGAGGAGGAGGACGACGACCAGGTGATCCTCGAGATCCCGGAGAGCGTGATCGAGGAGGAGGAGGAGGAGGGGGACTTTGAGTGGGACGACAGGGTCAAGTGCGACGATGTCGGGGCCATCGTGCCGCCCGGCAAGGACGAGGTGATCATCAAGATAAACGACGTGGTGGCGGCCCAGGGCGCGCTCGGGCCCAGAGTGGAGGAAGCGAGGCGGGGACTGTTGCCGAGGAAGCTGAGCTTGGAGATCATCGACGAGAAGATCCAGGAGACGCGCAAAGAGATCAAGGACCTGATCTGCAAGGAGAAGCGCTTCCCGGAGCTCAAGCGTAGGGAGAAGATGCTGAAGCTTGACGGCAACGACAGGGCGGACCGAGGAAAAGCAATGGAGGTGGGGGAGGTCGTGCCGCGCTTCAAGATCGAGGCGTGCAACAGCGTCGGGGACTTTTCCACCCTGTACGTGAAGGCAGCCAACGCCGAGCCGGCTCGCAAGGTCGAGAGCCACCGCGAGAGCGTGAGACTGCCAGCGCCGCCGTCCTTCCTGCAACATCAGGAGGTTGGTGAAAGCAGGGGGGACGTGGTGGAGACGACCGAGGAGATAGTGTTGCCGATGCGCAAGCCGTACGTGCTCGATGCCGCGCGCAACAGTGTTTACCTGGCGCTGAAGCCGAGCCAGAAGGACCGGCGAGCCATTGTCGATGAATCGGAGCTTGATCGGCGGGGATCGATCGTTATCGACGAAACGAGGAAGGAGAGCGTTGCCAAGTGCACCGAGGATCGGTCAAAGATAGAAAGTGGCGCCGATACGGTTCGAGTGGTCGGTGAGAAGGGGGAGGCTGGCAGTGTTGGTGCGCCAGTCGCGGCGATATCGGCCGGGATCGGTGGTAAGGAGGAGTTTGTCGCCTGGTGGGACGAGTCACCTGCCGCTAAGGTAGAGGACAAAAGTGCGCCCGCTGCCTTGAGCAAGTCTCTGGAGAAGTCGAGCGCGGCTGAAGCTGTCGTCGCTGGGAGCGATTCGAAGAGTGCAGCGAAGAGGGAAGTTGGCGAAAGTGTTTTGAAGCCAGTGGGTGACAAGGGAAGGGACAAGTCGAAGAGTCCCGCTAAAGAGACAGCAGCTACCAGAGAAGCCATCAGTGCCGTCGAGAAAGTCCGAGATAAGGTTGCTGTTGTTACCGAGGCAAAGAAGGAGGTCAAAGATAAGTCAGAACTTAAGAGCGAGAGAGAGAAACCTGTCGACAAAAAGTTAGAATTAAAAGCTTGTACCGATATTAAAATCGCAGGGGGAGAAAAATCTGTTGTCAAAAAGGTAGAGCCGGAAGAAAAGCAAGTAAAAAGTTTGGTGGAGGAGAAATCTGTTGACAAAAAGGTAGAACCGAAAGAAAAAGTAGCTAAGGGTTTGACGGACAAGAGTGAATCGAAACTAAAACCCACCGATAAAAAGGCAGTAAAAGGTTCACCGGACAATAAAATCGTAGTGGAAGAAAAATCTGCCGACAACAAGGTACAGCCCAAAGAAAAGGTAACGAAAGGCTTGACGGACAATACAACCGTAGTGGAAGAAAAACCTGCTGATAAAAAGGTAGAACCCAAAGAAAAAACAGCAAAAGCTTTGACGGACAATAAAATCGTAGAGGTCGAAAAACTTGTCGATAAAAAGACAGAACTTAAAGAAAAAGCAGCAAAGAGTTTGACAGATATTAAAATCGCAGGGGAAGAAAAACCCATTGATAAAAAGGTAGAGCCCAAAGAAAAAGAAGCGAAAGGATTGACAGATATTAAAATCGTAGTGGAAGAAAAACCCATTGATAAAAAGGTAGAGCCCAAAGAAAAAGACGCGAAAGGATTAAAATCGTAGTGGAAGAAAAACCCATTGATAAAAAGGTAGAGCCCAAAGAAAAAGCAGCAAAGAGTTTGACGGACAAAAAAACCGAAGCAAAAGAAAAACCGACTGACAAAAAGCCCGACTCCAAGGAGAAAGTACCGGAAAGTAAAGTCGACGAGAAGAAAGACAAGCCAAAGGCAAAACCAGCCGGCGACAGGGACAAGCCAAAGAGCCCCGCTGCAAAGGACAAGTCGCTCTCGGCACCCAGCCGCTCGGAAAAGAAACCCAGGAGCGAGTCGCCCCGATTCGAGCGACCCCTACCCGACATCCCCGAGGAGACCTCCCAAATAACGTCCCCCACCGAACCCAAGGCTCCACCGAACGACACCGGATCCCCTTTCGCTAGAACAACCGAGGAACCGCCGATCACCGGCTTTGCCAAACGAGACCGGAGGAAGATCGATGCGGCTGCCATCATGAAGATCGAGAAGAAGATACTCGAGGACTCGGACTCGCCCCACCAGATACGCAGCGGCGCCATACCCGACAACCACGCGCCGGAGACGATGCAGCAGCCCGAGCCCGAAATAGACTTCTGGAACGAGATCGGCAGCCCCCGGAGCGTCCGTCTCTCCAGAAAACCGCAGTCCCACCTCGACTCGGAGCCAAGGAGGTCCCTCGAGCTCGACCTCTCCGCGCCACCCAACGACGAGGAGCCCCGCTGCAACGGCACGTCCAGGCGCCGCGGCTCCACGGACGAGCAGCTGAGCGAGACCGAGCGCACCAGCACCGTCAAGAAAATCTCCAAGTGGACCAACCACGACAACCTGTCGAGCCTCAACGACGCCGACGCCACCCCCCTAGCCTCAAAGGAGGCGAGCCCCCTCGTCTCGGCCGCCTCCTCCACCACCAAGAAACGGATCGTCAAGAAGAAGAAACCGGCATCTGCGGCGTCGAGCACGAAGAAGTCCAGCGAGAAGGTGAGCACGAAAAAGGGCACGAAGAAGGGCAGCAAGGCGGGTAGCAAGGCGGGCCTCAAGGCGCCTATGTCCGCCGCCGGCTCGCCCCGGAACTCCCCGAGCCAGAGGCCCGCCGATCTGAACAAGCTGTTCTACACGACCCCGGCGATACTGCTGACGGCGACGCCGAGGGACCTGCGCAAGGTGCGGAGGGCCAAGGTCAAGAGGAAAAAGCCCTCGACGCGGACGCCGTCGTTGAGCAGCGACAGCACGGGCAGCACGAGGAGCACCGCAGACACGAGCAACGAGGAGGGCAGCAACTGCGAGGAGGACGCCGAACACAAGAGACTCGCCTCGACGAGAAGTAATGACTCGGGATTCGATGGATCGCCGAGGCTTTCTAGTACGACGGTGTTTTCGCTTCTTTTTTTTTTTTTTTTCTTTCTTTGTTACTGCTGTACCCCCCCCCCCCCCTTCTAATTTCTTTTTGGTTTTGCATGCCGATCCTCCGTTTGTTGTTAAAAATTCCTTGCTCCCGAGTTACTGGATGGTTCGCGGCTGATTTTGCAGGGGGGGAACAAAAAAATTGTTACACACGCGTGTCGGCTATTGCAGCTCTCGCGGGTGGCTATTACGTTACGCCAATGAGCTGCAATCCGAGGGGGCGAGCGGTTGGGTTGTATCGTCTATTTCGGTGTCTCTCGCTGCGGAGCGTCTATTTTCGGGCGGGCGCGTACACGCGAAAACCAAAGGAGCAGCCGAGCGATGAATATTTTATTTTGTTTCGCTGCTGTTGAAGTTGCGCAGTGCTTCATTTCCCGGGGAAAGGGTCAAGAAACGCCAGCCCTGCATGGCTTTGTCTTGTTCGATAACCTACTTGTGCTTTTTTTTTTTTTTCATCCAACCGCAATAATAACCAAAACCACGATTTCCAAAGAAAAAAAACCACATCACCATCCATCGCTCGATCGACGAAGCACAAATTGTCGCTTCGTAAAAACACTCGGCTATTTTGTCGCAACGTCACTAGTTGAGTTTAGCAATAGCATTGCGTCACGCGGCCGAAGAAAAAGCTCCCACTTGGCATAACAAAAAAAAAAAAAAAAAAAAAAACAACACCCGAGTACCTCCCGATATACGCGTATAATCACGTGCTCGCAACAATGCTTGCGAATGTTGAGGTGAAGATTAAGAGTACACGGACGCGATTANAGCTCACTTCCGATTCTGTTTGTCGGATGCAAAAATTCTCTGGATCAGTCCAAAAATAAGATCCCCGCAAAGCGCATCTTCGAACCATATTATTATATTGATGACGATAAATTCAGGTCCGTCGTACACGCGCACCGGCAGAAAATCATTCGTACGCCGGCGACTGCGTCCCTACGGCTACGTTGATCCACAGCCACAACCGACAAGTGAGAGAAGACGCGCGAGCTTTGTCACACACATACATAAATATATATATACATATATACACACCTGCTCTGCTAAGCTTACTTGGCTATTTCGAGAGATATTCGCAAGCGCGTGTGTGTGTGAGCGTAGCTCTATAACGCTGCTGCTGCTTTGTAATTGGCTGCAAGCTCGAATCGATCGTGATCGCAAAGCTCGTTTGGAGGATTTAATTTTTCAACGCAAGCTCAGCCGGATTTTGGGTGAATGTCCGTCCGACGATTTGTGGCGTTTTTCCGAGCTGTCGTTATTTTAGCGACGACGCGTAACATCCGGGACAGTGTTTTTCTGACCCTATTTAAATTTTTTTTTTTTTTTCTTTGTTTTGACAACGCCTGTTTTGCGAAATAGGAAAAAACGCTTGTATTCGGGTCGACACGACCAACTTTTTTTTCCTTTCATTTTAGTATTTGAAGAATGACGATGGTTGTCTTGTACAGATAAAAATAGTGTATCATTTGACTCTCGTCGAGAAAAAACTTTGATTTTGTTTTTTCTAAACATAAAACCGTCAAAAAATCGGCACGCTTTTTCGCAAGCCACTCGACCTTGAACGCGTCAAAGCAAAGAGCAGAGCAAAAAAAAAAGATGAAAGGAAAAAGAAAAAGGTTGGTCAAGCTGTCGTTGACGATGGAAATCTGGAGTCGCCGATCGGTGATCCAATCCTCGAAGACAGCACGTCGCGCTCTTATATACATAGCAAGCTCTTGCGAGTGCGTACACGGCAGTGAGCACACATTGTTTTTTTCCTTCCTTCTTTTTTCTTTGGCGTCCCAAGAGCGCTGATCTCCCGATGTCATTGGACGGCCAAGTTTATTTTCGAGGAATGTCCGAGACGAGAATGGCCAAAAACGCCGGGACCTGTGAATCTATTACAGGGCAGGTCAGACGAGGATTAACGGTGTCTATTACCATTTCGCTCTGATCAATAAATCGTCCTGTAAAAGATTAGTATAAGGATATTTTAAACTTGAGTGTTTTTCAAACTCAAGTGATTAAAACACGTTGTGTCTACATATAATATAATATATATATATATATATATAATAAAAGGTGGAAAAACGTTTAATCAAGCGTTTCAAAATTAATAATGTAAAATCGGCGTCCGAAACCCAACTCGCGTACGTAATCACACGTCGGATTCGATTAAATCTCAAAAAACCATGAGTAAACACCATTACGCACATTAGCTTCAAACAAACATCGGTCGATGAAAACAGAGTCCAGGGTGCCTCGGATACCAAAACGAAAAAAGCAGGAGAAAAAACCATCCATTCATCCATCTTCGAGAACATATGCCGTATACTTGCGTATATATATATACGCTCTGTGCAAATAATCAAACGCTGTAGGAGTGTAATGCTCCCGGCACACATGCCACACGAGAGAGAAGAAAAAAAATCATCATTACCCTCCCATAAATCGGGAACAGCGATTTTTGTGGATTTTCGATATCACTAGCGATGATCCAAGTGAGACGAGCGATAAGTATAGCCAGTGTTTACCAGCAAAGATAGTGTCGCAATTCCACTCCTTCTCCATCGCGCTCCAGCGTATCGTGTAAACAATACCATCCACATATAGTCGTTATAAATATACCCCCACATATTTCAATTGGCTTTTGTTACCAAGTGTGGCTTGTCTGGATGCTTTTTTTCAGTAACCGATGCTAATTTTACACGTAAGTTGCTTTTTGTTCATTCTATCAAAAAAATCGATCGATCGATCGATGAAATGTCGCCCACATTAAAAATAACGCAAATGGCCTATTTTTTTTTTTTATACATGTATAACCGTTATGCTTGTGTGAGCATGTGTTTTTCCCTTTGCCGAAACAAACAATCCAGAAATAAAATCTTGAAACCGTGTCGACCCATGTACAGCACCATCGCAATCGTCCGAGAACCAAAGAAGCAACGCGGACAGCGATCACTTCCACCACAGCGGCCGGATAACGCCGCCCGCCACGAATCTTCCCAGATTCAAGAAATACGAGGTCACGGACTTTAACTTCCTCAAGGTCTGTCGTTTGTATTTTTATTAGCCAACGGCCCGGTAACACCAACAAATTCATTACAAAAGGCAGCTAGCTCGGATAATTTTTTTTTTTCCCCTCGGAGGGGAGTTTGTCTCTATTGTACTTGTAAATGGTTTCGGACTTTGAGAAAAATTATTTCGTGAATTTTTAAACATCCACAAAGTGCATTGTTTTTTTTTCCGGCAGATGTAAGTACACTGTGTTTCAAATATCACAAAGTTTTTTGTAAAGTATACCTATTTGAAGTACTTTGACTCTGTTTATTCCTACATTGATTTTTCTTTCAAAATGAAATCGTTATAAATCGTAAATAATTTAAAAAACTAAAATAAAAAAAAATTGAAAAATCATCCTTGACCAAGTGTGCACTAAAAAAAACAAACCTTCGAACGAGCTGCTATGTTGTTTCGGTTTTGTTGACCGAGTCGTAGATACCGATTGGACAAAAGAATGGAAAAAAAAAAAAAAAAAAAAAAAAAAAATTGGTCCTGCGCGCCCACAGGTACTGGGCAAGGGCAGTTTCGGCAAAGTCCTGCTCGCGGAGCTTCGGGGCACCGAGTGCGTCTACGCGGTAAAGTGCCTGAAAAAGGACGTGGTGCTCGAGGACGACGACGTCGAGTGCACGCTGATCGAGCGCAAGGTCCTGACCCTGGCGACCCGGCACCCGTACCTGTGCCACCTGTTCTGCACCTTCCAAACCGAGTCTCACTTGTTCTTCGTGATGGAGTACCTGAACGGCGGCGACCTCATGTTCCACATACAGAAGAGCGGCCGGTTCTCCGAGGCCAGGGCCAGGTTCTACGCCGCGGAGATCTGGTCGGGCCTGATATTCCTTCACAAGAAGGGCATCGTCTACCGCGACCTCAAGCTCGACAATGTCCTGCTCGACTTTGAGGGCCACATCAGGATCGCCGACTTTGGCATGTGCAAACTACAGATCTTCCTCGACAGGACGGCCGACACGTTTTGCGGGACGCCTGATTACATGGCCCCGGAAGTGAGTTTTCATCCCCAAACTCTGGATTGGGCAAAACAACTTTTTTTCATTTTTTTTTTTTTTTCTAATAATAAGATCCATTTTATTTTTCACTTAAAATATGATGCATAATATTTGTGAGGGAGGAAAAATTTTTATTTAAATTGTAACGTAAATAACTCGGTGTGCAATGATAACTGAAATCGCACACAGTCCTTTTTTTGTTACTTGAACTTTTCAAAAGTTCCAAAGTACAATATCAGGCTATATACATAGCAAATAAATTTTGCCGATTGTGTAACATATACATGGGAAGGTGTAGCACATATCTTTGCGTATCGTGTAACGAAAATGTTTTTTTTATCCATGCAGTAGTTGTTGAAATTATTATTTACATTAGTATCATAGAAGCCACTTCAATACTCTGTGATAAGCTTTGCTAGTTATCGTTAAAAAAACTCTTAGTCGAATATTTTGTTATAGTAATAAAAAAAAAAAAAAAAAAAAAAACTCGATTTCGCAGATAATAAAGGGGCTAAAGTACAACCAGGCGGTCGACTGGTGGTCCTTTGGTGTCCTGTTGTACGAGATGTTGACCGGTCAGTCGCCGTTCTCCGGCTGCGACGAGGACGAGCTGTTCTGGAGTATCTGCAACGAGCGACCCTTCATTCCCCGGTACCTCTGCCAGAGCGCCACCGAGCTCCTCGTCTGCCTCCTCGAGAAGGACTCGGGCAAGCGGATACCCGGACACGAGATCGCCTGTCACTCGTTTTTCAACGTAACTCCTCATCCTCCGTTACCTTTTTTCCCCACCTCGATTTTTAGATTTCAATGAATAATATTTTTCTTTTCCCCTGGACAGTCCATCGCCTGGGACAAGTTGGAGCGGCGCACGCTGGAGCCCCCGTTCAAGCCCGCGGTGGAGCACACCCTGGACACGAGGTACTTCGACACGGCCTTCACGACGGAACGCCCGAGACTGACGCAGGTGCCCGAGCAGATACTCACCTCCATGGACCAAACGGTCTTCCGTGGATTCTCGTACACGAATCCCAACGCGACAGACTGAACGCGATCGCGAGTGCCTTCGAGCAGGGGCTCACAGGAAAAAACAAAATTTCTATCCATGCGGCTTTTTTTTTTTTTTTTTTTTTTTTACACATTATGCGTGAGTGAACGACTGCTCACTAAAATGTTAAATCTCAGCTAATCGAGTATCAAAAAAAAAAAAACAAGAAAAAACAAAATCTTGTTCGTTAAATCGTCAAAATACTGGTACATGTGCTTGTACGCGTGTGGGGTGAAATAAAAAAAAATAAAACAAACGACGAGCGGAAGGACCATTTGGATGGATAGATAAATCTTCGGCAGCGCGAGTTTAGCAGCGTGGCCCTGAACTTGGAGGCAAACCATACCGGTATCTTTTCCGCCGCCGAAAAATCGTCGATAGTCGTAAATATCGCGCGCGTCGATCGGACGTTTAATACCGGCTGGTGCACGTGCAAGGGGGGCCGCTATTTCGGTCGATCAACGCGAATGTCACGGTTTCGAGGAATCGGAGCTTTGTCCGCCCGTCGGCTGTTGGGGAACAAAAGAGAGAGTGAAGCCCTCTTTGTTTCGACTTTCGAGAAATGGCACTCCCCACCGCTTTGGATGTTTATGGAAAGACTCTCCGCGACTCTGCTTTCATCTTTTTTTTTTTTCCTCCCCCTCGAGCGTTAATCAACTTTTTTCTTTTTTTTTCTTCGGGGGCTGTGTCCGGTTGGCAGAGGTTTCCGAAAACGATCGTTCGAGCTTCCGTCATCGCGAGATCTCGGACTTTCCGAAACCAAAGTATTTTTGTCAACGCTCGACTTGAGACGCGTGGCCCCATTTTTATTTATTTTGTTTTAGACAACATCGGCATTACGCAAAGGAAAAAAAAAAAAAAATTATTATTGTTATTTCGCTTCAACAATAACAGCAGTGGCGATAATAACAATAACTTGCACCTTCCTGGTTGGCTCGGGTCGCTCTGCGGAGCTTCAACAGAGCCGCTCTTGTTCGGCGATATCGATAATTGGACCCGTTCGTTAATCCCCCGCTCGAAAGTCCGATCGTCCGTTTTATTTATGCAAACACCCCGGCCGAGAGGAAGCGACAAATTATATTCAAATAGAAAAAAAAAAAAAAAAAATGTAACTCCCCAGCCTGCAAGTATTATACAATCTGTATGAGAATCTGTCGTTCGTCAGCTCGTATATTACCTGAACCTCGTGTCCGATCGACGGCCGATTAATATTGCGTGTGTATAATAAGCGGGAGAAAAGGAGGGAAAAGCAATACGATACGTGTGTGTATATGCGCAATTGGCACGGGCCAATGCCACGTTTGAGTTGAAAATTTTCGGAAAAGCTTAGCGCGCGTGTTTCGCCAGCAGTGCTTCCGCGACGCTCCGGCCGCGAGGAAGACTCCTCGGCGTTGTTGTACATGTGTATACGGCATGGCTGCCGGTAGTACAGGTCCGGGTGGAGATAACGCGTTTGCCGGTTTCTTTTTTTTTTTTTTTTTTTTTTTCCACCGAGGAGATCGGTTCTGGTGATGTTTTTTTTTTTTTTTTTTTTGTTGTTGCGGGGATAACTAAAGTTATTTGCTTACACTGTGTTGAGTTGTTATAAGGTGGAAGTGAAACTCTCTTGGAGTTTTTCTACAGTGGGATAATCAGGGCTGCTTTTATAAAAATTATTTTTTACTTATTTCATACATACGCGTTCAAATAAGTGTACGGATGTGAAGTATAATTTTACCTTTCAAAGTTTTTTTTTTTTTATGTGCACAAGATTTAAATCTCAAGTCTTTAACGTAAAACTTTCGTCAATTTTCATCTTCAATTTGCGTTATTATTCGTTTAAATGGTATTTTTTTTAAATTACCGATCTCCTCAGTGTGGATTGGTGATGCCAGAACTATTTTTGGACTGATCCGTCTTTTCGGTAAAATAAATATCGATATTTTCTTCAATTTCGGATACAGTTTGGTGTAAAATTCGGTCTTTCGCAGTTTTACTTTGTTACTACTCGGAAATTGATACCTGTTCGGTTTTACTAACGATTCGACTGAACATTTAGAGCTAAAATAGTTTTTTCGCTGTAAAATTTTGCAAAGTCAGTAATAGTTTTGTTTAGAGAATACGATTAATCGTCTCTTTAGGATAGATAAATCTAAAAATTTTGCTTACCACGCGCGACATATAAAAACCCAAAAATATACAAACAAAAGAGCGTTTTAGGTCGTTAAGTCATTTATACTTTTAAACAAAATAAATTGCCGTCTCGTCCAAGACACCGTTGCATAAATATTACAGTTTTACAAAATATAAAAAGAATTTCTGAAAAAAAAGGAAAAAATGTAACACCTGTAAAAATCGAATTTCCTATAACTATTCTCGTGATCGCGCAACTACCAAAATAAAAAAAAAGCTCACTTCCGATTCTGTTTGTCGGATGCAAAAATTCTCTGGATCAGTCCAAAAATAAGATCCCCGCAAAGCGCATCTTCGAACCATATTATTATATTGATGACGATAAATTCAGGTCCGTCGTACACGCGCACCGGCAGAAAATCATTCGTACGCCGGCGACTGCGTCCCTACGGCTACGTTGATCCACAGCCACAACCGACAAGTGAGAGAAGACGCGCGAGCTTTGTCACACACATACATAAATATATATATACATATATACACACCTGCTCTGCTAAGCTTACTTGGCTATTTCGAGAGATATTCGCAAGCGCGTGTGTGTGTGAGCGTAGCTCTATAACGCTGCTGCTGCTTTGTAATTGGCTGCAAGCTCGAATCGATCGTGATCGCAAAGCTCGTTTGGAGGATTTAATTTTTCAACGCAAGCTCAGCCGGATTTTGGGTGAATGTCCGTCCGACGATTTGTGGCGTTTTTCCGAGCTGTCGTTATTTTAGCGACGACGCGTAACATCCGGGACAGTGTTTTTCTGACCCTATTTAAATTTTTTTTTTTTTTTCTTTGTTTTGACAACGCCTGTTTTGCGAAATAGGAAAAAACGCTTGTATTCGGGTCGACACGACCAACTTTTTTTTCCTTTCATTTTAGTATTTGAAGAATGACGATGGTTGTCTTGTACAGATAAAAATAGTGTATCATTTGACTCTCGTCGAGAAAAAACTTTGATTTTGTTTTTTCTAAACATAAAACCGTCAAAAAATCGGCACGCTTTTTCGCAAGCCACTCGACCTTGAACGCGTCAAAGCAAAGAGCAGAGCAAAAAAAAAAGATGAAAGGAAAAAGAAAAAGGTTGGTCAAGCTGTCGTTGACGATGGAAATCTGGAGTCGCCGATCGGTGATCCAATCCTCGAAGACAGCACGTCGCGCTCTTATATACATAGCAAGCTCTTGCGAGTGCGTACACGGCAGTGAGCACACATTGTTTTTTTCCTTCCTTCTTTTTTCTTTGGCGTCCCAAGAGCGCTGATCTCCCGATGTCATTGGACGGCCAAGTTTATTTTCGAGGAATGTCCGAGACGAGAATGGCCAAAAACGCCGGGACCTGTGAATCTATTACAGGGCAGGTCAGACGAGGATTAACGGTGTCTATTACCATTTCGCTCTGATCAATAAATCGTCCTGTAAAAGATTAGTATAAGGATATTTTAAACTTGAGTGTTTTTCAAACTCAAGTGATTAAAACACGTTGTGTCTACATATAATATAATATATATATATATATATATAATAAAAGGTGGAAAAACGTTTAATCAAGCGTTTCAAAATTAATAATGTAAAATCGGCGTCCGAAACCCAACTCGCGTACGTAATCACACGTCGGATTCGATTAAATCTCAAAAAACCATGAGTAAACACCATTACGCACATTAGCTTCAAACAAACATNTTTTTTTTTTTTTTTTTTTTTTTTTTTTTTTTTTTTTTTTACTACCTCAAGTGGAGATGCTATACCCATAGATGGGTCGGAGGGAAAAAAATTGAACGTTTAGCGATTCGATGCCGAGAGTCCTATTGTTTTGCGAGGGATATTTTGAAATCGATTGATTACCGATTCGAGGAAAATGATGCAATATTTCACGCGAATGACTTTGAATGTGTGGTACAACTACTTATTTATTTCTCTCTACATGGAACTTGAAAGTTACGACATTCATTGGTTGGCAATAATTACGATTTCTCAACTGTAACGATACCGAATCAAAGTGTAGCTGATCGTATTCTGTACACTTTAGTTTCCTCTTGCTTTTCACGTTAAAATAGACGTATCTCGATAGTCAAATTATCGTGAAAAGCTCGTGGAACATTTTTTTTGTATACGCCATGTGACTCTAAGGTGTTTGGTGGGCTGCAAAACTTTACTTTTATTAGTATACGGCGTTAACGAAATTTTGTTTTAAAAAAAATGTATTTTAGTCCCAAAAATGCATTTAAAACGTTAATTGTGTTTTTACAGAATACTATGAAAAGAAAAAAAAAATCAATTTGAAAATTGATTTTTTTTTTCACGCTCACCAAACACTTTAGAGATCTTATTAAAAGTGACTTTGAACAGAGTCCGCTCAACTTTGTAAATATAATTTAAAAAAAAAAGTATTAGAATACTGTTAAAATGTTAAGCAGTTGAAGTATACGTTTTAAAAGTTACATAGAAATATTTCACTGCGTTAAACATATTTATACGAATTTTCTAATTTTTTGTTTCGCCCATTACTATATATATATACGTATATTAAGTTTTTCGTTAAAACTGATGATTCTCTTTATTTTATTTATTATTATGATTATTATTATTTTTTTTTTTTTTCGTTATCACATTGTTTTACCATACCGTATTGTTCATTGTTAGAAAGTTGAAGGAAGAATTCTCATGTGATACTAAATCAAGTGAATTAGAATAAAAAAATAATATTGTTGTACGAAAGAACGTATTGTTAAATTTCTGTTGTTGAATACGTATATTTATGTACATTTATTTTTCGCCAGAGCAATATTTCATACTTGTAAAATTTTTATATAAATAAATAAACGAATATACACATACACGATTAAATAAGATGTTACGTAAGATTAAGGAATATTTGTTAAAATGATAGCTAACAGAAATGAAATACAATAAAAAAAAAAAAAACACTTAAAAACAATGTTGTTGTTGTTGTTGTTTTTTTTTTTTTTTTCATCCCCGTATCCCAACAAGCAAGTGCTGTATCAGAAACACATTATACATAAGTGGGGCCTCCTCTGTATACTCATCCAAGCCAGGCCGAGTTTATTAATATACTCGCGGGTGAAAGAAGCGAGGCTCCACACACACGAGTTATTACGCGCGAGTGGCCCGCGGGAGAAGACCAAGATAGCCCCGGCTCCTCCTCATTTATATATATTTGCGGATTCCAAATGATTTTTCAAAACCACACGTAAAAATCAATTTTTTCCCTTTTTTTTCCCTTTACGCCTCCAATCGGACAAACAGCTTCAATCATCGAGCTCGACCGAACGCCGACACTTCAAAGCCTATAGATGCCGTGTCGTGCCGTGTAACCAACTCTCTTTCTCTTTGACGCGCAGAGAGCATCACATTGCTATACCCCGAGATAACGCGCTAACTTTAGACCCTCGAGGAATTGGCAAGAGTCTTCCTCCTCGGGCTGCCAAGACGAGAGCCCTGTGTTAAACATACATATATATATA